CGCATGCTTGCAAGCGTGTTGTCGGTCGCTCCTTGGTCTTTCGTCTGAGAGCACTGCTCACACACCACGTACTGATTAGCATGGTTATTATTCCACCCCAGTCTGTGTCCCCGCCGAGTGTGAGCCCCACAAGGTCAGCTCTCATTCTGCTCTTCTCCCAGTGACTGGCACCGCAACTCGCACACCGTAAGCACTCGGACCTGTGTCTTCCTCATCTCTCAGAAGGGAAGCGCAACACCAGCCACTGGCATTGTTTTGAAGAGGGAACAAGGGTGAAACTCTCCAAAGTGACAGTCACAAAGCCAGGCCAGTCTGCTCAAGTCCTGGGGCATTCTCTAAAGACCCAGATATTTCGCAAGCAGGTGCAGCGCTGGGAGAAGGGAAGGGGGTCCTTGTGGTTAGCAAGGGCCCCTCCTATGCAGGACTCACAAAGAGAGGCTGGCGGGGCAGCTGGGCTCAAGAGCTGCCAGGCCCGAGCTGGGCACTGTGCCACAGGCTGCCTGGTAAGGGCCGTTTCATCTGAGTCCCAGCTGCCACTTGGCTGGCTGGCCCAGAGCCCAGCTGCCTGGAGGGCAGAGGGGCTGGCAGCTTTGTGTCAGGAGGAAGAACAAAGAGAGGGCGGGTGGGAGGAGGACAGAAGGGAGCAGTGCTTGCTGTTGGAATCAGGCCAAGGGGAAAGGAGATCCAGCCACAGCCAGCACCGAGGGGCTGTTGGAGTCTTTGGTTGCCATAGCATCTTTGAGACAAGTTCACAGGGCTCATCTCAGATAACACCCCAGCTCTCAGCATGTCACAGGTGAGGACTGAGGCCCAGGAAGAGGCAGGGCTGGCCTGAGGTGATATTGCAAAGGAGTGACAGAACCAGAGCTACAAGCCTGGGCCCTTGGTTCCCGCTTCCGGCTGCCTCGGAAACGGCCATTTCATCTCTGGGAGCCTCAGCGTGCTCGTAGGCAAAATGGAGGCGCTCCTTCCTGGTGGGGATCGGGAGGACCATAAGTGCTAGTGGAAATGAAAGGGGGGGGGGGGGGAAGAGGGCCTTCTGCACTAGGTCTTGGAGGCTGGGTGAGTTTTCCAGGCAGAGAACTGGCTGGTGGAGCCCGGCCGGCATTGCAAGCACAAAAGCAGGGAGGCAGGAGAGTGCAGGGGCGGGGAGAGAAACAGGAAGCAACACTGAAAAGCCAGACGGCCTGGCGCTGTGAGAAGTGCCCAGGGTCTCTTAGTGTCTAGCCCTCCTTCTCTGGGAGCAACCCTTCAGAATGCTGTCGCCCTGTGAACTCATACTGGCCGGTGCTGGGAGGAGTCGACTATGCAAAGGCAAGTGGGTACGGATGACACGGCTGGCAGGGAGGCCCCCTTGAGGGGATCCCAGCACCTTCCTGGTGGCATAGTCCATTTTGCAGAGTCAGCGTATTCAATATGCATACTTTGGTCAGTGCTATGGTGTGGAGAGGGTTTGAGTGGGTTCCCCAAAGGTCCACATGTTGGAAGGAGCCAGGAACTCCATCCAGGTCTTCCTCACCAGTGGCAGGGGCCCAAGTACTTGGGACATGAACCTTCTGCCTCCCCAGGTGTGTTAGCAGGAAGCTGGAGGACAGCAGAGTAGCTGGGACTGGAACCAGCACTCCAATATGGCATGTTAGTGTCACAAGCGGTGGTTTAACCTGCTGCACCACAATGGCAGCTGAGGATTTGCCCCATTGTCCTCCTCCCCTTAGAGTAAAAGTTCTGGGTCGCTCAGCATTGAGGAAACCTGCTGGGAAGGCCATGGAATCAGAGCATCTGAGAGTATTTCCTAAGCTTTCCTGCCCGCGCAGACGGTACAGATACACACATGGTCACTGTTTTCTTTTCTTTTTTTTGGGGGGGGGGGGGCTGTTTTCAATAGTTTAAGGTGCTTTGTAGCAGGAGGATTTCAGAATATCTAGTCCTCCACATTATTGGATGTTGAAGTCCAGCACATTTTCATATACGTAGTCACTCTGTCTTTAAAGTTATCTGTGCTCATATCTTTAGGGCAGAGACATATCTCAGCCCCTAACGCCTAGCCAAAGTCATTATCAGTAGCTCTTGGTTTATTCAACCAATAATGAGTCACAGTCCACATGACAATAAAGAGTTGGAAAGGTCCCCATGCTGGATAAGCTGATACTGGATGGGACAGCACCAAGGAGACAAGAGAGTGGGCACTAACACTTACTCAAGAAAGGGCTCCTAAGAGCTTTAGTCTAGTGCGTCCCAAGTTCCCAAGATGACCAGATACTTGTTAAGTATACAGATTCCCAGGCCCTTCCTTCATGATTCAGTTTCAGCACTCTGGAGGTGGGATCCTGCACTGGTGTTCTATAAGCGCCTCAGGCAAATCTTAACCATGAGGGAAATTTTGGCAATGCTCAATTATTTCCTTTTATGTAATTCTCACAAAACCCAGCCAGTCAAGAATTCACAGGTATTTTGGGCCCAGAAAGGGGAAGCAATGGATGGTCAAACAGCTGGTGTACGTCAGGACCAGGGTTCCAGTGCTAGTCATTATACTCCAAAACCTCATCACCTTATCTATTCTTTTTTTTTTTTTTACCAACTGTTAGTATTTTTCCCTAAAGTTTCTACATCATTAGTTTTTTTTTTTTTTTATAATTTTTTTTGACAGGCAGAGTGGACAGTGAGAGAGAGAGACAGAGAGAAAGGTCTTCCTTTGCCGTTGGTTCACCCTCCAATGGCCGCCGCGGCCGGCGTGCTGCGGCCGGCGCACCGCGCTGATCCGATGGCAGGAGCCAGGAGCCAGGTGCTTTTCCTGGTCTCCCATGGGGTGCAGGGCCCAAGCACCTGGGCCATCCTCCACTGCACTCCCTGGCCACAGCAGAGAGCTGGCCTGGAAGAGGGGCAACCGGGACAGAATCTGGCGCCCTGACCGGGACTAGAACCCGGTGTGCCGGCGCCGCAAGGTGGAGGATTAGCCTAGTGAGCCGCGGCGCCGGCCCATCATTAGTTTATTATTCTGAGTTTACGGTCCAGAGTCACCATTTTCTTTTTATTGAGGTTAGAAAAAAAAAAAAAAAAAACAGAAAAATAACCATCTTAATCATTTTAAGTGATTAAGTAGTAATCACAAGTATTAAGTTTATTTTCATTGCCAAGGAAAAGAGCTCCATAACGTTCTCATCTTGTCATTTGGAAATCTGTACCTACTACATAACAGCTCCCCTTTCCCCTATCCCCTCTGCCCCGGTAACCACCTCTGTACTATCTTTTTCTATGAATTTGACTGCTTTATATACTTCATATACATGAGCTCATATAGAAGTATTTGTGTTTTTGCAACTGGCTTGTTTCACTTGGTATAATGGTCCTTGCGTTTCATCCATGTTGGAGCATGTGCCAGAATTTTTTTCCTTTTTAAGTCTGGATAGTATTCTGTTCTGTTGTATCTATGTGCCACACTGTGATGGACGTTTGGTTTGCTCCCACCCGTTGGCTATTATGGATAAGACTGCTATGAATGTGAGTGTACACATATCTCTTCAAGACCCTGTTTGCAGTTCTTTTGGTTATATAGCCAGACATGCAAGTGCTGGCTCGCATGGTAGTTCCTTTTTGATTTTTTGAGGAACCCCCATATCATTTTCCATAATCGTTGTATTGTCATTATTTTTAAAAGAACTTTATCTTTATGTTTTTAAAGATTTATTTATTTGAAAGGCAGAGTTTGAGAGAGAGAGAGAGAGAGAAACTATCTTCATGATGCTGGTTCACTCCCGAAATAGCCACGATGGCCAGGGCTGGGCCAGGCTGAAGCCAGGAGTCTAGAACGCTGTCCAAGTCTCTCATGTGGGTGGCAGGGGCCTAAGCACCAGGGCCACCTTCTGCTGCTTTCCCAGCACACTGGATGCCAGCTTTTGCTGGCAGTGGCTTAACCCACTGCTTCACAATGCCAGCTCCTATTTAAGTCCTTTTCAAAAGGACTTAATTTTTTAGGAACCAGAATTGTGGTGCTGGTATCCCATATCAAAGTACTGGTTTGAGTCCTGGTTGCTCTGCTTCCAATCCAGCTTTCTGCTAACTACCTGGGAAGGCAGCAGAGGATGGCCCAAGTACTTTGGGTCCCTGTCATTCCTGTGGGAGGTCAGGACAGAGTTCCCAGCTGTTGTAGCCATTTGGGGAGTGAACCAGTGGATGGAAGATCTCTCTTCCTCTCTGAGTCATGCTGCCTTTCAAATAAATAAATACATTTCTAAAAAAGATTATTTTTGAACAGTTTTAGATTTACAGAGATATTGAGGAGAGAGAAGGGTGCCCATATATTACACTGAATGTTTCCTGTTCTAAACTATTTATTTTAAGATTTAGTTATTTGAAAGGCAGAGTGATGGTGACTGAGAGAGATGTATTCTACTTTAGTATGGTTCATTGGTTACATTTATCAATGAACCAATATGATGCATTAACTAAAAATCAATAGTTTACTCATAGCATTAAAATTTTTGTTCAATGTCCATTTTCTGTTCTAGAATCTCATTCAGGATACTACATTGCATTTAGTCAGTGTGTCTTCTTAGGGTGCTCTTGGTATGACAGTTTCTCAGATTTTCTTTGTTTCTGATGACCATGATAGTTCTGAGGAGTACTGGTAAGTTGTAGAATGCCCCTGTATGGGAATTTTTCTGATGATTTTCTCATGATGGGACTGGGGTTACAGATTCTGGGAAGAAGATCATTTTTACCACATCATATCAAGGGTCCCTACTAGCATCATGATTTATAACAGTTGATGTTGACCTTGATCACCTAGCAGAAGTAGTATTTGTCAGTTCCTCCACTACAATACTACCTCCCCCTGCCCTTTGCTTCCCCTATTGTAGTCTTAGAAGGAAGTCACTGGTCACAGCCCACATTTAAGGAGTGGGGTGTTATGCTCTTGCTGTTTATGGGATATATATATATGTGTGTGTGTATATATATATATTTATTTAAGAGGCAGAGAGAGAGAGCGCGCGTGCTCACATCTGTTGGTTCACTCCTCAAATGGGTGCAATGACCAGGGCTGGGCCGGGGTGGAGGGAAAGCCAGAACACAAGCTAGGTTTCCCATGTGGGCAGCAGGCACCTGCTTACTTGAGTCATCAGCACTGCCTCCCAGGGTCTACACTGGCAGTTAGCTGGAGTCAGGAGCTGGAGCCCAGAATTGAACCCAGATGCTCCACTGTGGGAGGCTGATCTCTTAACCACTAAGCTAAATGCTGACTCCCTGACTTACTGTACTTTCTTTTTTACAAAGAGAGGTTTTTTTTAAAAAAATTATTGAGAGGCAGAGAATAATAGAGAGACTGAGAACTCAGACCGGCTAGTTCACTCCCCTATCAGAAGTCAATCCAGGTCCCCCAATTGGGTGGTGGGAACCCAACCACTTGAGCCACCCCCGCCGCCCCTAGGGTCTGCACCAGAAGGAAGCTGGAATCAGGCAAACATGGAATCCAGGACCTGTGGTTTGGGATGCAGGCTTCTCAAATTGCTTCTTTACAGCTAGGTCAAAAGCCCGCCTCCCTGAGGTGGTTATTTTAACAAGGAAAATAGCGCACAAAAGGGGTATCTAGATTTTTTTTTTTTTTTGACAGGCAGAGTGCACAGTGAGAGAGACAGAAAGGTCTTCATTTTCTGTTGGTTCACCGCACTGATCCGAAGCCAGGAGCCAGGTGCTTCTCCTGGTCTCCCATGGGGTGCAGGGCCCAAGTACTTGGGCCATCCCCCACTGCACTCCCTGGCCACAGCAGAGAGCTGGCCTGGAAGAGGGGCAACCGGGACAGAATCCGGCGCCCCGACCGGGACTAGAACCCTGAGTGCCGGCGCCACAGGCGGAGGATTAGCCTACTGAGCCCTGGCGCGGGGTACCTAGCTCTTTGCGTCACTGGTCGTACTTGGCATTCCTAGCAGGTGGCCTGTGGTGGCTTAATAGCCCACACTGGCCACCCTACTTCCTGGAACTTCACTTTCCTAGCTCTAAGAGGGGTGTTGTTGATTCCCCTTCCCCTCCCTAGTTCAGTCTTGATGGTACCCCTGGGACCGCACGGGAGCCCGAGGCTCAGAAAAGGGCAAGGTCGGCTCAGCATCTCACCTGGCCGGGCAACCCCTCCTGCGCTTAGCTTCCCCACCCCGGGGCGGGGCCAGGGGCACTTCCGCTGGCCAGCGTTAGCCGCACGTGGTAGGCTGAGCGGCGCCGGGCTAGCTGCGGGTCGGAGATGACCAGCCTGCGCTCTGCGCCCGGGTCTCCGGCGTCCACGTCCCGGGCGCCGGCGCCCCCGCCCGTGACCGACAGGCAGAACGTGAGTGCGCGGGAGGGCGGGGGCCGCGCGTGTCCCGCGCCGCCGCGTCTTGCTCTGCTGCGCTCCGGGGTCTTCCGCTGGCCCCTGTCTCCCCGGGGCTGCCTTTCGCTTTGGGCGCGTTGCGTTCCCTCTCCTCTGGCAGGGCTCTGTCTTTTCTCCTTGGCCATCTCTGCCCCAGCTCTGGCCGCTGTGCTTTTGCGCCTCTGTGCCGGATCCTGCTCCGGGTGTGCGTGGCCTCTCCTCTTGGCACTTTTTCTTTCTTGGCCGCCTTTATTCATCGTTCTCGTCACACTGTTTTTATTTTAGTGCCTCTCTGGCGCTCCGCCGTCTGCCCTCAGGCTTGGTGAAGTCCATGGGTTTTCTTTGAACCTAACTCTTCCTGCCGGCCCTGGCCACCCCCGCGCCCCAAACCCCTCCATCTTCAGGCTGGCCCTGTCCTTGGGTTGGATCCTGAGGCTTCCTGCTCACCTCCTCCCTGGGCTTGGGCGAGGGGGGAGGGTCGACAAAGGCTGCGTTTGCTGTAGGAGCAGAAAATTCTGATTCTCTTTTGGCTACATCTTTGCTTTTTTAATTTTTAAAAGATTTATTTGTTTATTTGAGAGGCAGAGTTACAATCAGAGAAGTCTTTCATCCACTTGTTCACTCCCCAGATAGCCCCAAAGTCAGATGTTGGGACAGTTGGAAGCCAGGAGCTTCTTCCGGCTCTCCCACAAGGGTGCAGGGCTGCAAGCACTTGGGCCATCTTCCACTGCTTTCCCAGGTGCATTAGTTGGCATCCATATGGGATGCCTACGTCATAGGCGGAGGCTTAATCTACCAGGCCACAGCGCAGACTCCTGGTTCCGCCATCTTGAAGACTTGGAAGGAAAAGCAGACCCAGGAACGTATGGCTCTTTCCACTAGGACAACAGTAATGGCATTTTCCTTGGCGAGTGACAAAGCCATCTTCTTTTAAAATATGTATTTATTTGAAAGGCAGAGTTGAGAGAGATCTTCCATTTGCTAGTTCACTCCCTAAATGGCCACAACCAGCAGGTCAGATCCAGGAACCTGGAACTCCCACGTAGGTGCTGGGGCCCAATTGCTCTCCCAGGTGCACTAGCAAGGAGCTGGATCAAAAGATTCCGGTGCCTGGAAGCAGCAGGGACTCACATGAGCTCTGATAAGATAGAGGATACTGGCATAGCAAGCAGAATCTTAACCCGCTATGCCCAATGGTGGCCTGACAGGGCCACCTGCTGAATGCTTAGATAGGTGCTCAGTAAGTGCCTGAATGAATTACCAGGCAAAGGTAATGCCGGGACCCAGTGCTCAGTGCCAGGTAGGGCAATGTCGCCCTTTATCAGAGGACCGTGTGCTCCATTCAAGTCGGCAGTGTGCTGCTCAGCTCTGTAGTAGGTAACAGTGACATAAGGTAGAGCCAAGAACAGTCCCTCCCTTGAGGAAACAACAGTCTAATTTGCAAGGGGACCCAGCCTGCTTTGATGAGGGGGGTGGAGGGAGCAGCAGGTGGTTGAATTGCAGAGTTTAGGGTTTATTTGGAAGGGAATGAGGAGTTTTCTGGGCATTTAATGCAGGGAGTGATGGGATCAGATTCAGAAAAGGTACTGTGGTTTCAGAATGGAGAGCAGGTAAAGCTGCTGCCTGCAGTGTTGGCCTCCCCTATGGGCTCCGAGTCCAGTTCCGGCTGCTCAACTTCCGACCCATCTCTCTGCTATGGCCTGGGAAAGCAGCAGAAGATGGCCCAAGTCCTTGGGCCCCTGCACCCGCATGGGAGAGCTGGAAGAAGCTCCTGGCTCCTGGCTTCAGATAGATCAGCGCAGCTTTGGCCATTGCAGCTCTCTGGGGAGTGAACCAGCAGATGGAAGACTAATCTCTCTCTTTGGCTCTGCCTTTCTGTAACTCTTTCAAATAAATAAATAAATCTTAAAAAAGAGAGAGAGAGGGGGAGAGAGAGAGAGAGAGAGAGAGACTTATTTGAAAGGCAAAGTTGCAGAGCAGGAGATCTTTCATCTGTTGATTCACTCCCCAAATAGCTGCAATGGCCAAGGCTCGGCCAGGCCGAAGCCAGGAGCTTCTTCCAGGTCTTCCACATGGGTGCAGGGCCCAAGCACTTGGGCTATCTTTTGCTGCTTTTCCAGGCCATTATCAGAGAGCTGTGTCAGAAGTGGAGCAGCTGAGTCTCCAACCAGCACCCATATGGGATGCTTAACCTACTATGCCACTACACTGGCCATGACTTACTTTCTTTCTTTCTTTCTTTCTTTCTTTCTTTCTTTCTTTCTTTCTTTCTTTCTTTCTTTCTCTTTCTTTCTTTCTTTCTTTCTTTCTTTCTTTCTTTCTTTCTTTCTTTCTTTCTTTCTTTCTTTCTTTCTTTCTCTTTCTTTCTTTCTTTCTTTCTTTCTTTTTTTAAATTTGTTTATTTATTTGAAAGAGTTACACAAAGGAGAGGCAGAAAAAGAGAGGTCTTCCTGGTGCACTCCCCAATTGGCCGCAACAGCCAGAGCTACGCCGATCCAAAGCCAGGAGCCAGGAGCTTCTTCCAGGTCTCCCACGAGGGTTTCAGGGCCCAAGGACTTGGGCCATCTTCTACTGCTTTCCCAGGCCACAGCAGAGAGCTGGATCAGAAGAGGAGCAGCCGGGACTTGAACCGGCGGCCATATGGGATGCCGGCACGGCAGGTGACAGCTTTACCCTCTGTGCCACAGCGCTGGCCCCTCTTTTTTTTTTTTTTTTTTTTTAAAGAATTTATTTATTTATTTGAAAGGTAGAGTTACAGAGAGGGAGAGAAGAGATCTTCCATCCACTGATTCACTCTGCAGATGGCTGCAGTGGGTGGAGCTGGGCCAGTCATTAGCCAGGAGCTTCTTCCAGGTCTCTCAGATGCATACAGCGGCCTTTGGGCCATCCTCCTCTGCTTTCCCAGGCACATTAGCAGGGAGCTGGATCCAAAGTGGAGCAGCCAGGACTCAAACCGGTATCCATATGGGATGCCAGCGTTACAAGCCATGGCTTTAACCCACTGTGCCACAGTGCGGTTCCCAGGAAGCTAGTTCTTGAAGCATCTGGCAATTAGCTTCAGAAAGGACATTGAAGTGATTGGATTCATTACACTTCCAGAGCTGGAGGGATTTAGAGTTCTCTTGGTCTATTTTGCCTTCTCTTCATCTCCCTGTTTCACAGATGACTGAGCTTAAGCCCAAAGCAGACAAGTGAACTGCAGTCACTGGTAGCAGTGGGTTTGGGGAGGGCTGGGGTGGGCAGCACATGGCTGTATTGGAGTCAGACTGTTGGGAACGTGACCCCAGCTTTTCCTCATCATTTCTGAGCTGCGTCACTCTTACCTCTGTGCTTTCCTCACCTGTGTCGTATGGGGACCTTTACAGGGCCTGTGAGCTGTCCGTGGCACAGGAGTATTGAGGACACATTGGTTCATTCAGGGGTTAACATGTAACCTCCCACTTAACTGCTTGCTTTACAGAAGTGCCCTCATGGTTAACCAAGCAGCCCTGCCGAGGGGCCTTGAGGTTTATGGGAGAAAGCAGGGAAAGTAGATCCTGGGCTTACTTTTCTCAGCTGTATTGTTTGGCGGCTGTCAAGCTTCTGTCCTCAGCCTTCTCTCTGTCTCCTGAGAGGAGCTGCTGTCATGGCAACTCAGTCCTCTGCAGTGTGCCTGCCTGTGTGCCTCCAGTATTTTCTTCTTGGGGTTAGAGCTCATAGGCCAGTTGAGAATGAGGTCTCACTTCAAACAGACTGGAGGATGGTCCTGAACCCTGGTCCCATCCCTGGGTGTTCGCTGACTTGGGGCAGAATCTCCAGGTCAGAGATGCAGCCTGCAATGTCACATCCTCTGCAGTCATCACCCCCCCCCCACCACCACCACCAGGACACTTCTGCAGCCTTCAGCACACAAAAAGAGCTGTCCCCCTCCTGCCTTTGAGACTTCCCTCTTACCACCCACATAATCAAGCTGCTTGCCTCCCTCTCTCCCCTGTGAGCTCCATGTATTCAGGGTCCCATTCACCTGTTTAGCTCAAGGCTTGCGTGTAATAGGCTTGAGCCTATTAATAGGTTCTTCGTACATTTTGTTGAATGAGTCACTCAGGAAAACAAGAGTGGAAGTATTTATTGATCTTATTTATTTGAAAGGCAGAGAGACAGGAAGAGATTTCCTATCAACTGTTTCACTTCCCAAATGCCCACAGCATCTGGGGCAGGGCCAGGCTGATGCAGGAGTCTGACTTCAATCTGAGTTGTCCTTGTGGGTGGCAGGGACCTAAGCATGTGAGCTGTCACCTGCCGCCACTTAGGGTGCATATTAGCAGAAAGCTGGAATCAAGAGTGGAGATGGGGCGTAAGCCTAGGCATTCCTATATGAGATGTTGGCATCCCAAGTGGCATCTTGCCTGCCGCGCCAAAAGCCTGCCCACAGTGGAGGTATTTGAAGGTTGAAGGTAATTATGTAATGACCAGGAGCTCAAACTGTGGGATAAAAGGGCCAAGTTCAAGTGCTGACAACCTTACTTAGTAGCTGATGGATCTTGGGCATGCTATGTCACTTTCTTTAGCTTTTGTTTTTGTCCTCCATAAAATAGGGATGTATTACATTCTTTGTAGAGTGAGGATTGAATTAGATACAGTGGTTTAAGCCACCTCCTAGAACTCTAGCATACCATGTCAGAGTGCTGATTCAAGTTCTGGCTGCTCTGATTCCAATCCAGCTCCCTGCTAGTGTGCCTGGGAAGGCAGCAAAAAGATGGCTCAAGTACATGAACCCCTGCCACCCAGGTGGGACACCCGGATGGAATTCCAGGCAGCTGGCTTCCATCTGACCCAGCCCCAGCTGTTGTGGCCATATGGGAGTGGACCAGTGGATGGAAGATCTCTTTCTAGCTATCTCTCTGTAACTCTACCTTTCAAATAAATAAAAATCTTTGGGGCCAGCATTGTGGAGTAGTGGATTAAGCTGCCACCTGCAGTGCCAGCATCCCATATGTGTGTTGGTTTGAGTTCTGGCTGCTCCACTTCTGATCCAGCACCCTGCTAATTGGCCTGGGAAAGTAGTGGAATATGGCCCAAGTACTTGGGCCCCTACACTCACTTCGGAGACCTGGATAGAGTTTCCAGCTCCTGGCTTCAAGCCTTGGTGTTGTGGCCATTTGGGGAGTGAAATAGCAGGTGGGAGATCTCTTTTTGTAACTGATTTTCATTATATTTTTTCTTTACTTTTTAGTTTCTGCATTTCAAGTAAATAAAATTTTCAGTATCTGCACTTCAAGTAAATAAATTAATGTTTTAAAAAATAGGAAGAAAAATCTTAAATTAAAAAATCAACTACCACACAGTTACTGGCCTGTGAGGGCAGGAACTGTGAGCTGGTTGTTCAGCACTGTATCCCAGGCAAAATAATAGGCAAGGGGGCCCGTGCTGTGGAGTAGTGGGAAAAGCCACCTGAAGTTATGGCATTCCATATGGGCGCCAGTTCAAGTCCTGGCTGCTCCACTTCTGATCCAGCTTTCTGCTATGGCCTGGGAAAGTAGTAAAGGATGGCCCAAGTCCTTGTGCCCTTGTACCCACGTAGGAGACCCGGAAGAAGCTCCTGGCTCCTGATTTCGGATCAGCACAGCTCCAGCCGTTGTGGCCATCTGGGGAGTGAACCAGCGGATGGAAGACTTCTCGACCTCTCTCCCTGCCTCTTCCTCTCTGTAACTCTGCCTTTAAAATAAGTAAATAAATCTTTTTTTAAAAAAATAGGCCAAATAAACATATAGCTATCTTATTTAATAAGTGAATACATGGTCAGGATAGCCAGTGTTCACTTCCTGTGTCACACTCATTGTATGGTCTTCGGTGTTTGTGTTCAGTCTTTGTGGCTGCACTTTAGTGCTCCCCAAATGCTGTCTCTCAGTCTGTTTCTATGAGCCCCTCCCCCTGGCCAAGGGCATCTCCTGGCTGTCACCACATCGGTCTCACTTGTATCTGTAGGGAGGAGCCCAGGGTCTGGCACAAAACCTGTTGAACAGCTGATATTTGTACTGTTTTTGAAGCTAGAGTTACTGTCTTCTCACCACCAAAGACATTCTTATTATTTAAGCCCCAAGGACTCCTATCTTGTAGACATATTCTTAAAAAATCCATTGAAAACAAACTTTTATGCATTCATTTATTTGAGAGAGACACACACAGAGCAAGAGAGAGTACTCCCGTCTGGTGGTTCAGTCCCCAAAAGCCCACAATAGCTGCAGCAGGGCTAGGCTAGAAACTCAGACTAGGTCTCCCACAGGGGTGGCAGGTACTCACCTACTGGAGCCATAACCTGTCGCCTCTCAGAGTGTGCATTAATAGGAAGGTAGAATACAGAGCAGAGCCAGAACTCAAAGCCAGGCACTCCAATAGGGCCTGCAGAATTCCCAACCGGTGTCTTAAGCTGTACGCCAAACACCCACCCCAAATTCCAGGTTTTAATAAACCAAGAGCATGTCAGCTGCTAATCAGAAGTTTTTTTTTTTTTTTTTTAAGGTTTATTTATTAGAGTGACAGAGTGACACACACAGTTAGAGATTTCCATCTGCTGGTTCATTACCCAAATGGCTGCAACAGCCAGGGCTGGGCCAGGCTGAAGCCAGGAGCCAGGAATTCCATCCTGGTCTCACACACGGGTGTCAGGGGCCCAAATTGTTGGACCATCTTCTGTTGTTTTCCCAGGTGTATTAACAGGAAGTTGGATCTGAAGTGCAATACTGGGTCTCAAATTGCTGCTCTGATTTGGGATGCCAGAGTTGCAAGCAGCGGCGTGGCCTGCATGCCACAATGCCAGCACCCAATCAGAACTTCTAATCATATGAGGTAGATTTTTTTGTCAACTTCCATCACAGCATGTGGACACACCATACCCAAGAGATGTTTCCTGAATGAATAATGTGTATAGTTTCTTTAGTTTTCCTGATATGTTAAAATGCCTTTCCCCCAATTTTTTTTAATTTTGATTTTTTTAAAGATTATTCATTTATTTGAAAGAGTTACACAGAGAGAGGAGAGGCAGACAGAGAGAGGTCTTCCATCCACTGGTTCACTCCCCAATTGGCTGCAACGGCCGGAGCTGGGCCGATCCAAAACCAGAAGCCAGGAGCTTCTTCTAGGACTCCCACGTGGGTGCAGGGTCTCAAGGACTTGGGCCATCTTCTACTGCTTTCCCAGGCCATAGCAGAGAGATGGATCAGAAGAGGAGCAGCCAGGACTTGAACCGGCATCCATATGAGATGCTGGCACTGCAAGCGGTGGCTTTACCCACTACGCCATAGTGCCAGCCCCTTTATTTTTAATTTTATTTGAAAGGAGGTGGTTTAGCCAAGACTCAAATTGGCACTTATATGGGATGCAAGCGTCACAGGTGGCAGCTTAACCTGCCACACCAAAATACCGGTCCCTATCTTATTTATTTAAAAAGCAGAGTTAGAGAGAGAGAGAGAGCTCATCCATCTGCTGGTTCACTCCCTAAATGACTGCCATGACTGAGGCTGGGCCAGGCTGAAGCCAGGAACCTGGAACTACACCTGGGCCTCCCACATGGGTGGCAGAGGTTCAAGTACTTGAGGAGTCATCTGCTGCCTCCTCAGGTGTGCACTGGCAAGAAGCTGTAATTGGAAGTGGAGCCAGGTGCTCCGGTGGGATGCAGGCATCACAACCACTGTTCCAGTCTCCTCCCCCTTCCTTTTAAATGTATGTTTGCTGCTCCGTGCGGAGGAGCTGCACCGGACCGGACGCTTGTTGTTCCCCTTTTTTACAAGTCCTTTCTATAGTAAAGTAAGAATAAGTAAACAGCAAACTCCCAAAGCAAGAATGAGTAGAGAGAAATGAGAAAGAACGAAGTAACGAACTTCCCCGCGAACTCTCCAACCAACCCACACCACTATGCCGTCTCTCTCCTCCTATATAGTCCTCTCCACCAATCTGTGCTCTGCTACCCACACGCCGAGCACGCCGCTCTCCTCCAATCAGGAGCGGCTCTTGCAGCTTGTCAAGTTGGTGAGAGGCAGCTGGGTAGAAGCTGCACGCTCCTCTCCCAGCGCCATATTGTGGGAGAGCAGATGCATAGAATAAGTCTTAATTCCAGTAACAGTATAGTCCGAGTTGCTCCCCACATATGTTAGAGGTGAGTATCGCAGGTTGGAAATGCCCGAGGCTGGGAAAATGGCTTGCCAAGGCTACAGACTTTGGAAGTGTTATTGTTGGGACTTCTATAGCAATATCTACTAATGTTAGTAGTATCATTATTCTTGTATTCAAGTATCAGGTATTCTTGTATCAGTCTGAAATCTTTTCCTCCTTAAATGCTCACTTCTCTGGAGTTAGCATGAATACAACCCTGTTGAGTAAGATGGGCCTTCCAAGCATTGAAGCTAATCCTTAAGGTTCTCTTGGGTTACAACCTGGATTCTTTGGATGAAAAGAAGTCAGGAGCTCCCTGGAGGTGGCGCTGTTGGTTCATTCTGCCTCTTGTGCCCCCAGATAATTAAAGTTGTGGAGCTGAACGTCGGGGGTCAGTTTTACACCACCACTCTGGACACCCTACGAAAATTCCCAGACTCGAAGCTGGCAGAGATGTTCTCCGGCGCCAATCTCGCCTGCAGGGATGCGAAGGGCTGCTTCTTCATTGATCGTCCTGGCACCTATTTCGGACCTATCCTCGAGTACCTGCGCAGCGGGCAGCTGCCCACGCAGCACCTCCCCGAGGTGTACCGGGAGGCTCAGTTCTATGGAATCAAGCCTTTGGTCAAGCTCCTGGAAGACACGCCACAGATCTTTGGTGAACAGGTGGCTCGGAGGCAGTTTCTGCTGCAAGTGCCCGGCTACAGCGAGAACCTGGAGCTCCTGGTTCGCCTGGCGCGCGCAAGGGCTGTGGCGCAGCGTCATTCGAGGGTCATGGTGTGTGTGATGCCGTCTGAACAGCATTCTGCGAAGTATCAGGAGCGCCCACGTACTGAGGAGGACACGATTGTCATGCACACGCCTGGGATGCTAGAAACGGATGTGCGTGACCTCATGGACTGTGTGAAGATGGACCTTCAGAACCAGGGGTACAGAGTAACCTTCTCCGGCCCCTACACGAATTCACTCTTCTCCACTTCCTCTTCGCGCTTTGCCCCAGCCTGTGCTTGCTCCTTTAAATTCACCTTCACGTGGTGGTGATTGCTGGGGCTCGGACTGTTTTGCTACCGGCTGTGGTGGGGCTTGTAGAATTAAAAGTTGCAGGGCAGGCCCCGAGGCTCACTAGGCTAATCCTCCGCCTTGCGGCGCTGGCACACCAGGTTCTTAGTTCTGGTCGGGGCACCGGATTCTGTCCTGGTTGCTCCTCTTCCAGGCCAGCTCTCTGCTGTGGCCAGGGAGTGCAGTGGAGGATGGTCTAAGTCCTTGGGCTCTGCACCCCATGGGAGACCAGGAGAAGCACCTGGCTCCTGCCTTCGGATCAGTGCGCTGTGCCGGCCGCAGCAGCGCGCCAGCCGCGGCGGCCGTTGGAGGGTGAACCAACGGCAAAGGAAGACCTTTCTCTCTGTCTCTCACTGTCCACTCTGCCTGTCAAAAAATAAAAAAAAGTAAAAAAAAAGTTGCAATTTTCTTTAATTTCAAAAACAAACATTGAACAGCTTGCATGGTTGGCTTATAGCTTTCTTCTCAATTTTTTTTTTTTAAGATTTTGTTTCTTTATTTATTTGAGATACAGAGTTACAGTCAGAGAGAGGGAGAGGCAGAGGAAAGGTCTTCGATCTGCTGGTTCACTCCCCAAATGCCACAATGGCTGGAGCTGGGCCAGTCCGAAGCCAGGAGCCAGGAGCTTCTTCTGGGTCTCCCACATGGGTGCAGGGGCCCAAGGACTTGGGCTTTCTCAGGCCATAACAAGAGAGCTGGATCAGAAGTGGAACAGCTGGGACTCGAACTGGCAGGCGTATGGGATGCTGGACTGCAGGCATCAGCTTTACCCACTACACCACAGCGCCGGACCTGGGACACAGGACTTAACAGTACCCAAATTCAGAAGCCCCCATGTAAATGCATGATTTAGCAACCGTATTGCATGCCTACCAATTTTCTCACACTTTAATTTTCCTTTGAGGTGTCTCTTCTGTGGTGATAGATGTAAAAAAACCTTCCACTAAGACAAGGCCATATGTATATGAAAGATTCTGGCTTTGCCCCGATGGCATAACCATAGTCTTTATCAGTCACTTCAGAAACTATTGTTTCTGAACAGTAAATCTTTAAAAAAAGATTTTATGTATTGTTTATTTGAGAGGTAGAGTTACAGAGAGAGGAAAGACAGAGAGAAAGGTCTTCCATGCACTGGTTCACTCCCCAGATGGCCCCAATGGCTGGAGCTGAGGCCATCTGAAGCCAGGAGCCAGGAGATTCTTCCGGGTCTCCCATGTGGGTGCAGGGGCCCAAGGACTTGGGCCATCTTCTACTGCTTTCCCAGGCTATAGCAGAGAGCTGGATTGGAAATGGAGCAGCTGGGGCTCAGACTGGCACCCATGTGGGATGCTGGCACTGGAGGTGGCGGTTTACTCGTTATGCCATAACACCAGCCCCAGTAAATAAAATTTGAACATCAAAGACAAATAAACAAACAGAAATAAAATAAAAAAAATTTGAACAACATCAAAAAAAAAAACAAACAACTACTGGAACTTTTCCCTTTATGATATCTTCACATATCTCTCTAATATTTATTTATTGGGGGGGGGGGGCTGTGCTGTAGTACAGCAGGTTAAAGCCCTGGCCTGCAGTGCTGGCATCCCATATGGGTGCTAGTTTGAGTCCCAGCTGCTCTACTTCCAGTCCAGCTCCCTACTAATGTGCCTGGGAAAGCCTCAGAGGATGGCCCAAGTGCGTGTGCCCCTGCACCCACGTGGGAGACCTGGAAGTGGCTCCTGGCTCTTGGCTTCAGATCATCCAGGCTCCAGCCGTTGTGGCCATTTGGGGAGTGAACCAACAGATGGAAGACCTCTCTCTGTCTCTACCTCTCTCTCTAACTCTCTTTCAAATAAATAAAATAAATATTAAAACAATATTTATTTCAAAAGCAGTGTTACAGAGAGAAGAGACATCTTCCATCTACTGGTTTACTCCCCAGATGATTTGCAACAGCAATGTCTGGGACAGGCTGAAGCCAGGAGCTTCTTCTGGGGCTCCCACGTGGGTGCAGGGGCACACGCACTTGGGCCATCCTCTGCTGCTTTCCCAGGCATGCTACCAGGGAGTTGAATTGGAAGTGGAGCAGCCCATGTAGGATGTCAGCATTGCAGGTGGTGGCTTAACTCACTGTGCCCCAAAGACATCCCCAACTTCTTCACCTCTTTCAACATCTTTATGACATATTTTAACCAAGATTCAAAAGTGTTTCTTGGGCTTGGAGCCTGAGTGTACTTTGCGGTGTCTTCAAAAAGCTGAGCAGTAATTTCTAATGCTTATGACCTGCAACAGTGATTCCAGGTTTGGGGCTTGTTTTTTAATTTAAAAATTGATTCAAGAGCAGAGCACTCCCATCTGCTGGCTGACTCCCCAAATGCCTGCAATGACTGGGGCTGGGCTAGGCCAAAATTGTAATTCAGGAACCCAGCCCAGGTCTCCTGTGTGGATGGCAGAGCCCTAACTATGTGAGCCATCACCACTGCCACATAGGGTCTGTTTTAGCAGGAAGCCAGAGTCCTGAGCAGCAGCTGGAATTTGAACCCAGGCATTCCACTGTGGGACTTGGGCATCTTAAACCGCTAGGCTAAATGCATATCCTGTATACCTAAGTACTTTAAAATTTCCTCTAGCTTTTGCTGCCTCCCAGGGTGTGTGTTATCAGTAAGTTGGAATCCAAGGCAGAAGTGGGACTGGAACCCAGATACTCTGATATGGGTATTAGCTAGCTAGCTAGATGTAAATTTTTTAAAGATTTATTTATTTGAAAGGCAGAGTTACAGGGAGTGAGAGGCAGAGCAAGAGAGAGAAAGAGCTTTCATCCACTGGTTTACTACTCAAATGGCTGCAATGGCCAGTGCTGTTGCAAGCCGAAGCCAGGAGCTCAGAGCTTCACCTGGGTGTCCCACGTGGATGCAGGAGCCCAAGGACTTGGTCCATTTTCTGCTGCTTTCTCCAGCACATTGGAAAAAAGTTAGATTGGAAGTAGAATAGTGCCCATATGGGATGCCAGAGCTGCAGGTGGCAATTTAACCCACTGTGCTGCAAAAGTGGCCCCAGGTAGCTAGATAGATATTAACCTATATGTATAAAGAGGGGCTGAAGAAAGTGGGAATTTTTAAATAAAGTGAATTTTTGTGCAATGGAACAAGGAAACAAACCTAGAAAGCAGACCAGCAAGTACACCTAAAGTCATTGCTCTTGTTCTATGACCCTGTTAGAAGGGGTCCAGCCCTCTCCTTGGAGTAACTAGGAGAATCCCCCATTCTACACCAAGGGGTTGTTAGGTCCAGGAACACTGCACTGATAACAGATCCTGAAAGCATTTCCAGGAACTCCACATCCAGAAGACTCCCTTTCCTCATACACAATTGCCCGTAAGACAGAAGGCGGGGAAGAGGAATGGGGAACCCATGCTCATGTCCATAAAAACTCCAGTCCAAAACGGACTGCGTGCTCAGTTCTTTACTGTGATGCCCACCTGGTCCATCAGGTCTATATCTCATCATTAAACTTTGCTTGCTTACCACTCTGTGTCTCATGCCTGAGATCTTTGTTGTGTGGAGACAAGAACTTGCCAGCAGACGATCTCTGGTGCCTGGTGTAGGTGTCCAAGTGATGTCTTTATCATCATGCTAAATGCTCACTCCAGTGACATACTATTTTTACTCCACTTATAATAGCAAAACAATTTTTTTAAAAAAATTTACTTATTCATTTTGAAAGGGTTTGAGAGAGGGGCTGACACTGTGGCATAGTGGGCAAAGTCGCCATCTGCAGTGCAGACCCCATATGGGTACAGGTTTGAGTCCTGGCTGTTCCACATCTGATTCAACTCTCTGCTATGGCCTGAAAAAGCAGCAGAGGATGGCCAAAGTGTTTGGGCCTTTGCACCCACATGGGAGACCTAGAAGAACCTCCTGACTTCTTGGCTTTGGATGAGCCCACCTCTGGCCATTGTGGCCATTTGGGGAGTGAACCAGTGGATGGAAGACCTCTCTCTCTGCCTGATTCTCTGTAACTCTGTCTTTCAAGTAAATAAATCTTAAAAAAATGTTAGGAGAGACAGAGAGATCTTCCATGTACTGACTCACTCCCCAGATGGCTGCAATGGCACCCACACTAGGCCAGACCGAAGCCAAGAGGTTCATCTGGGTCTCCCATGTGCGTGGAAGGGGCCAAAGCACTTGGGCCATCCTTTGCTGCTTTCCCAGGCTATTAGCAGGGAGCTGGATCAGAAGTGGAGCAGCTGGGACACAAACCTGCACCCATATATGATACAACATACAACATCACAGGTGGCAGCTATACCCATATGCCACAATGCTGGCCCCGATAGCAAAACAATTGGAAATAATTTGGTGTTTTTAACTGTAAAATGCAATGCTATGCAGCAGTTGAAATTACATTTATGAGTGGCTTAAAATTATTGGGGAGGAGAATGTTTATTTAGTTGAACATAATTTCATTAAACTTTTACTCCAAAAAAAAAGATTTAAGTTGATTAGAATTGTGGCGCTATGAAACAAAAAAGAAATATCCCAAAAGATACGGTAGAAATAGATGAATTTAGTGCATACTGTTGTTTGACAGCTCATTAGTAACATCCTCTCTCTTCCTTTTTCCTAACAGAAAAGGCAAAATGGTAACTATATTACTAATGTTCAAACTACTCTCTATTTTGTTTGGATGTAAGTATATGAGACTTTTCAGATCTGCTAGAGACTAAAAAATTACATGGAAGAAAACTTAAAATTGTAGGTTAAACATAACGGTCATTATAATCCAAAGGGAAAACCTAATGAAAGACTGAAACTTTTGTAGATTGTCTTCATAGCACTGCACTAGGTTTTAAGGTGTATAATTTGGGAGTACATATTTTTCTTTTATTCTTTTCTTTCTACTTACTTTTCTCATCTTCCCCTGGGATTCAGGGTCTATTTCTGCCCCTTCCTGCTGTGTTTGGTGTTCTGCAAGGCTGATCCCTTCTGCATACCCAGACCCCTTGCTGGTTTTTCAGCATCTTGGCAAGTCCAGGAGAGGACCACTGGTGCCAGGAGAGCCGGGAGAATTGGTCTGGGGAAAAATATTTGTGCTTCTCATGAATGCCCACCAGAGGGCACCCATTCTAGAAGTCTCAAAAATTAAATGGTTTAATTTGTGGCTATCCATTAGTCTCTTCCCCCTGCTCCCCAGTGCTTGCTCAATGGAGTCAAGAATGAAGTGGCTATAACGGCACGGATGGAGGCTACAGATGGGCTCCACAATACAGACTTCTGCTCACCAAAGCTCAACTGGCCATTGATGAATGTTCAACTTGCTGATGGCAGAGACATAATACTGAGCCGCTGATGTGGTGTCAGCCCCAGAGGGACCCAGGCATTTCTCTGCACGTCAGTTACCTACACTGCTCTGTAACAAACCGTTGGGATAAATTCTGGCATTTTTGAGCAAATGGCTTTGACAGCTTTGTTTGAGGATATTCGTGAAGCTGCTTAGGAGCAGATAGCAGATTTATTTACATTCCAGGATGACAAAGCTGGTACTGGAGACTTTTCTATGGGTTGGAGAGCAGATTTGTTTTCTCCCCAGTAATGAAGTCTATCTCCGGAGGGCAGGTTTACAGACAGTTTTGCTTTAGGACCGGGAAATTCCGAAGCTGCATCTTCTTCAACTGTTAGAAGTCTGTGGAGTACATGGCATTCACATTCATTGCTGCCATGGCAATTGAGCAGCAGGGAGGACTGATTCAAACATGACGTTCATGCTGCTTGCTATGCTGTGAATAATAAACTGCCTTGTTTGTTGGGGGCTTGTGTTCTTACTACATGAATTTAGAGAAGTGTGGCAAGTTGACTTAGCAGTTTAGGGACTACCTGGCCATAGGACAGCCCTCCTACCTTCAACTCAATGCCTTAGGATCACAGCATGTCTCAGCGGGCTCAGTGTAGTCAGTTAGTGGATAGATGTGTTTTTGGGGGCAACACTGTGGCATAGCAGATAAAGACGCCACCTGCAGTGCCAGCATCCCATATGGGCTCTGGTTCAAGTCCTGCTGCTCCTCTTTCCTATCCATCTCTCTGCTATGGCCTGGGAAAGCAGTAGCAGATAGTTCAGGTCTTTGGGCCCCTGCACCCACGTGGGAGACCTGGAAGAAGCTCCAGGCTCCTTGCTTCAATTGGCCCAGCTCTGTCTGTTGTGACTATTTGGAGAGTGAGCCAGTGGATGGAAGACCTCTCTCTGTCTCTCTGCCTCTTCCTCTCTGTAACTGCCTTTCAAATAAATAAACAATAAAACTCTTTAAAAAAAATTATGTGTTTGGGGAGCTAGTCTCAGCCCAGCTAAGTTAACCTGTTTGAATCCTATGTGGTTGCCCATCTAGCCATCTAAATTAGACTTGTTCTCATGGCAATGATAGCATTCCCAAATGAAGCCAAAGACCTGGGAAATTGGCATGTAGATGGACCTTGAGGTTTAGGTTCAACCTGGCACACTGTCACTTTTCCACAAGCTATTGGCTGGTCACAGGCCAGCCAAAATTCAAAGTGTGGGGATATATATTCTGCTTGATATTGGAAGCATTAAAGTCACATTCCAAGGGGTCTGCATACACAAAGAAGGAGAATGGGGACCATTTTGATGATCCTTCCACCACACATTGGGTCCTTTTCATCATGGAATAAGTGAGTAGTAGTTTGTCATCATTGGAACAGATACATATTATAGATTCAGGTTTGGCTTACCTGCATGCAATGGATACCCTATTATCTATTCATGGATGCCTCATTTATTATTATGCTATTCCACACATTGCTTCTGATGAAGCATGCTACTTCCTGGTGAAAGAATTGTAGTGAAGTGGTGCCATGGCTCACTAGGTTAATCCTCCCCCTGAGGTGCTGGCACCCCGGGGTTCTAATCCCAGTCGGGGCGCCGGATTCTGTCCCGGTTGCTCCTCTTCCAGTCCAGCTCTCTGCTGTGGCCTGGGAAGGCAGTGGAGGATGGCCCAAGTGCTTGGGCCCTACACCCGCATGGGAGACCAGGAGGAAGCACCTGGCTCCTGGCTTCGGATCGGCCCAGTGCGCCGGCTGTAGCGGCCATTTTGGGGTTGAACTAACAGAAGGAAGACCTTTCTCTCTGTCTCTCTCTCTCTCACTGTCTAACTCTGCCTGTCAAAAAAAAAAAAAAAAAAAGTAATGAAGACAATTGTTGAATCTTTTCAGGAACTCCAGTACTCAGATGTAGTTGCTATGATAAAACAATTTATTTTAAGATTTATTTATTTATTTGAGAGGCAGAGTTACAGGGAGGGAGAGACAGAGAGGTCTTCCTTCTGCTGATTCACTCCCCAAACGGCCACTACAGCTGGAGCTGGGCTGGTCTGAAGCTAGGAGCGTCTTCTGGGTCTCTCACAAGGGTATAGGGCCCCAGGCACTTAGGCCATCTTCTGCTGCTTTCCCAGGCCATAAGCAGAGAGCTGGATTGGAAGTGGAGTAACTGGGACACAAACTGGCACCCATATGGGATGCTGGCACTGCAGGCAGAGGCTTTAACCTACTATGCTACAGCACCTGCCCCGGTAAAGCAGTTTAAATAACCCTTTTTGCATACTCATTTATGGTGCTAGCTGACAGACAACATATTGTGAGACTGGGATTCTGTCTTACAGGTTTGTGATATATGAACATCTGAAATATACTATGGTTTCTCTCACAGCTTACATGAGTCTGGGAATTGAGGGGTGGAGGCAGGAGCAGTTCTTTATGCTTTTACACTTAATAACTCATGTATGAATTCTTGGGTTCAGGTTTGGAGTGCTTAGTCTCCAAGGGAGGAAGAGTTCCACACAGAGCAGTCATTGTTCATTATAATGGAATATGTAATAAGATTACCATTGAAGCTCTCTTTGCTGAACTACGAGGGGGAGAAGGGGTTATTATACCCTTGGGTGATGCACCGCACATTCCAAGGGATATTGGGCTACGAGTATAAAACAAGGACAGGCAAGACTGAAGGCCAGGGGAGTCACTAGGGCACCTCATTGTTTTCTCATTTACAATGAAGGTCAAGAGAGAGTGGCATAAATTCCGCAGAAACAGTTTTCTTTCATTTTTTTTAAAGGTAGAGCAACAGAGAGAGAGAGAGAGAGAGAGAATCTTCCACCCTTGAATTCACTACCCAAATGCCTGCAGCATCTGGCGCTGGGCCAGGACAAAGCCAGGATGTCGTGGAGGAACGACACAAGACCCTGTGCTGTTCTTTTATCTGCTCGGCTCTTCCTGGGTTAGCTGCCGTTCCCTCACTCGTGGAGGAACAACGCCGTCCCGGGTTAGCTGCTGGCCCCTCCACCTCCGTGGAGGGGCGGCACCCCCCGCCGCTTTCCCTGCTTCCGCGGAGGAGTGGCACACCGCCAGCCGGCTCTCTCGGGGGCTGCTCAGATGTTCCTCAGGTGTTCCTTCAGATGTTCCCGGTGCATGTTGTCTCTCTCCTCCTTTATAGTCCTCTTCCACCAATCCCAACTCTGCTGCCCACATGCCGAGCACGCTGCTCTCCTCCAATCAGGAGCAGGATCAGCTCCTGCAGCTTATCAGTCAAATTGGCGAGAGGCAGCTGTGTAGAAGTTTACTCCTCCCCAGCGCCATATTGTGGGAGAGCAGATGCATAGAATAAGTCTTAATTCCAGTAACTTAGTCTAGTCTAGTCTCAGTTGCTCCCCACAGTTCCCCCTTTCTTTTTATTTTTTTTTTGGCATTGATACGCGCCTGTCTTCAGTGCCCCGCAGCGCACACTCTGCTCTGCTCTGCTCAAGTTGCCCATGGGTGCTTACAAGCCCTACCAATCAGGCAAACCGAATCCGGGTCCTCTCTTCGCCATGTTGTGAGGAGGTTTTTAGGCGCTGATGCGTGCCTGTGTTCGGTGCCCTGTGGTGCATTCTCTGCTCTGCCTGCCCACAGGTGCTTACCGCCTTACTAATCAGGCAGACCGAATCCGAGCCTTCTCATTGCCGTGTTGTGGGGAGACTTATTGGTGTTGATAACGTGCCTGTCTTCAGTGACCTGCGGCGGGTACTCTGCTAGCCGCCCGCAGGTGCTCACCGCCTTACTAATCAGGCAGACTGAATCCAAGCCCTCTCATCGCTGTGTTGTGGGGAGGCCTTATTTTTCTCTATTTCTCTATCTCCGGGCATTCCTATCTCTCCTATTTTACTTCTATCTGCCAGCATTCCTATTTCTCTCATTTTACTTTTTTTTTTTTTTTTTTTTTTTTTTTGACAGGCAGAGTGGACAGTGAGAGAGAGAGAGACAGAGAGAAAGGTCTTCCTTTGCCGTTGGTTCACCCTCCAATGGCCGCCGCTGCAGCCGGCGCACCGCGCTGATCCTGGCAGGAGCCAGGAGCCAGGTGCTTTTCCTGGTCTCCCATGGGGTGCAGGGCCCAAGCACCTGGGCCATCCTCCACTGCACTCCCTGGCCATAGCAGAGAGCTGGCCTGGAAGAGGGGCAACCGGGACAGAATCCGGCGCCCCAACCGGGACTAGAACCCGGTGTGCCGGCGCCGCAAGGTGGAGGATTAGCCTATTGAGCCACGGCGCCGGCTTCATTTTACTTCTATACTTCTGTTTCTCTTATCCCCGCGGCTTCCCAGCGTCCGCCCCGAGGCGGCTTCTCGGCGCCTCGCCCCGCAGCGGCTTCCCGGCTCTGCGCGGCTTCCCAGCTTCGCGCGCGCTCTGCGGTCTCCATGCCTTTTTGCGGCCGACCCACAGCCTCCACGCTAGCCCCGCACTCTTCTAACTACTCGCACCCCGTGTGCTCTCTCCGTGCGTGCCCCGCGCGCTCTCTGCACTTGGCAGCTTCCGCAAATCACGGCCTAGCTCACGTTTCCGCTTTTCGGTTTAGTTTTCAGTCTAAGTTCCCCGGGCTAACCTGACGAATTCCAACCTAGCTTAAGTCTCCGCTTTTCGGTTTGGCTTCCCGTTTTTTGCTCCCCAGGCTAATCTGACGGATCCCAACCTAGCTTACGTCTCCGCTTTCGGTTTGGCCTCCTGTCTTTTGCTCCCCGGGCTGACTTGACGAATTCCAACCTAGCTTACGTCTCCGCTTCGGCCTACCCCCACGGCTTCATTTTCCCTAGCTTATATTTTTCTCTAGCCGGTACATTTCCTAGCTTTCTTCCAACAATATTTCTCTCTCATTTCTCCTGGCTTCTCCCCACAGTCCGTATCCAAGTCTGTTTCTTCTAGCTTTCACTTTTGCTTTCAACCTTAGCTTTCTCCTAGCTTCTCCCCGCAGTCCGTATCCAAGTCTAAGTTTCTTCTAGCTTTCACTTTCACTTTCAATCTTAGATTTCTCCTAGCTTCTTCCCGCAGTCCGTATCCGAGTTTGTTTTTTCTAGCTTTCACTTTCGCTTTCAATCCTAACTTCTTCCAGCACTTTTTCCATCCGGCTTTTCCCTAGGCTCTTCCCTAGTCTCTCTCTCCGGTATTTTCCCGCTTTTTCCCTCCTAGGTTTCATATCTGAGTCACGGCACCATTATGTCGCTCCCCCATTAGTGGAGGAACGACACTAGACCCTGTGCTGTTCTTTTGTCTGCTCGGCTCTTCCTGGGTTAGCTGCCGGTCCCTCACTCGTGGAGGAACAACGCCGTCCTGGAGGTGGAGGGGCGGCACCCCCGCCACTTTCCCTGCTTCCGCGGGAGCGGCACACCGCCGGCCGGCTCTCTCGGGGGCTGCTCAGATGTTCCTCAGGTGTTCCTTCAGATGTTCCCGGTGCATGTTGTCTCTCTCCTCCTTTATAGTCCTCTTCCACCAATCCCAACTCTGCTGCCCACATGCCGAGCACGCTGCTCTCCTCCAATCAGGAGCAGGATCAGCTCCTGCAGCTTATCAGTCAAATTGGCGAGAGGCAGCTGTGTAGAAGTTTACTCCTCCCCAGCGCCATATTGTGGGAGAGCAGATGCATAGAATAAGTCTTAATTCCAGTATCTTAGTCTAGTCTCAGTTGCTCCCCACACCAGGAGCCAGAAACTCAGTCTAGGTCCTGTGGAGGGTAGCAGGGCTTCCATATGTGAGCTGTCATCTGCAGCCTCCCAGGGTGTGCATTGGCAGGAAATGGATCAGAAGCTGAGGTAGAACTTGAACTCAGACACTCTGATACAGGATGCAGGCATTACAAGTGACAGCCTAATTTGCTGTGCCATAATACCTGCCCCAAAGACTGTTTTTTTTTTTTTAACTTTCTCCCGAAGACAGTTTTTAAATTCAACATTAAAGCGTTTATGTTCTTATTCACATACCAATACGGCCCCAACCTCTCAACTTTTATTGCTTTTTCCTATTCCCAGTATACACTTTACGAACTAAATTTCTTTTTTTATTGCAACAAATTCCTTCATAAAGCCATGTTTTTAATAATAATAATTATGATACTTTCTATCAGTTGTTAAGATGCACAATTTTTTAAAAGATTTATTTGAAAGTTAGAGTTACACAGAGAGAGAAGGAGAGAGAGAGAGAGAGAGAGGGAGAGAGAGGTCTTCCATCTGCTGGTTCACTCCCCAGTTGGTTGCAATGGCCAGAGCTGCAACGATCTGAAGCCAGGAGCCAGGAGCTTCTCCTAGGTCTCCCACATAAATTCAGGGGCCCAAGGACCTGGGCCATCTTCTACTGCTTTCCCAGGCCATAGCAGAGAGCTGGATCGGAAGTGGAGCAGCCGGGACTCAAACTGGTGCCCATATGGGATGCTGGCACTGCAGGTGGCAGCTTTACCTGCTACATCACAGTGCCAGCCCCAAGATGCACAATTAACACCTCTGAAATCAGGATTGTGTCTTTTAAAAAAATATTTATTTATTTATTTATTTGAAAGAGTTACAGAGAGAAGTGGAAACAGAGAGAGAGGTCCTCCATCCGCTGGTTCATTCCCCAGATGGCCGCAATGGGCAGAGCTTTGCCGAGCTGAAGCCAGGAGTCAGAAGCTTCCTCCCAGTCCCCGACGTGGGTGCAGGGGCCCACAGACCTGGGCCATCTTCCACTGCTATCCCAGGCCATAGCAGAGAGCTGGATCAGAAGAGGAGCAGCTGGGATTAGAACCGGCACCCATAATATGGGATGCTGATGCTTCAGGCCAGGGTGTAACCAGCTGTGCCACAGTGCCAGCCCCAGGATGGTATCCTAAAATTGCTGCTGGCCAATTGCTTTTAGCAATTAATGTCAATTTTGGTACTACTTACATTGTTTTAAATTACCATTTTTTAAAAAAGGTTACTCTATAATCTGACATTGAGATGAAGTTTTTATGTGCACAGAAAAAGCTGGAAACACAGCAGTATGACATAAGATACAAATTTATGTCTAAGTAATGAGTAAGCTTAAAAGAGCTTTCAATAGGTATATATAACAAATCTAAGCAGTAATAAACCATTTCAGCATGCTTAGTGTAATTCATAAAAATGCTTATTTTACAGTTACCAGAAGCTTAGATTTGATAGACTATGATGACCATGTTAACATAAGCTTAGGGGTCAGCATTGTGGCGCAGTGGGCCATGCTGCCACTTGCAATCCAAGCATCCCATGTAGGTGCTGGTTTAATTCCTGGTTGCTTCACTTCCAATCCAACTCCCTGCCAAAACATGGGAAGGCAAGAGAGGATGCCCAAGTGTTTGGGCCAGTACCACCCATGTAGGATGTCTGGATGAAGCTCCTGGCTTTGGCCTGACCTAGCCCTGGCTGTCATGGCCATCTTGGGGAGTGACCAAGAAGATGGAAGCGCTCTCTCTCTTAGCTTGGCCTTTCAAATACATAAATAAATCTTAAAAAAAAAAAAAACAACTAACAGAAGCTAGCACTTATTGAAGACACTGTTTGCTAAGTGTTTTTTGTTTCCCTTGACACATTTGTATAACCTATAGTCTCTGTGGTCTAGCATTCCGTTCCTTCTTATGAAAAACTAATAAAGCTAGATTAAAAGTTTGCATTGTGGGTTAAGCTGTAGCTTGCAATGCTGGCATCCCTTATCACAGTGCAGGTTGGAGTCTCTGCTTCCACTCCATTATTCCTGCTAATGTGGCCATAAAGGCAGTAGAAGATGGATCAGGTACTTGGGCCCCTGCCTCTCATTTGAGAGATCCCAACAGAGTTCCTAGCTCCTGGCTGCAGCCTTGCCCAGCCTTTGCTGTTGCAGGCTTTTGGACAGTGAACCAGTGGATGGAAGATCTCTCTTTTTTCTGCTGCTCTTTCAAATAAGTAAGTCTTAAATTTTCTCTGCAAGGCTTCCTTGAGGCAATTAGTTCTGTTTGAACCACATTCCAGTTATGCAGCACACTTCAGTTGCTCTGTAAAAGATCAGCTTGGGAGGCCGGCGCTGCAGCTCACTAGGCTAATCCTCCGCCTAGCGGTGCCCGCACACCGGGTTCTAGTCCGGGTTGGGGCACCGGATTCTGTCCTGGTTGCCCCTCTTCCAGGCCAGCCCTCTGCTGTGGCCAGGGAGTGCAGTGGAGGATGGCCCAGGTGCTTGGGCCCTGCACCCCATGGGAGACCAGGAAAAGCACCTGGCTCCTGGCTCCTGCCATCGGATCAGCGCGGTGCGCCGGCCGCTGCAGCCATTGGAGGGTGAACCAACGGCAAAAGGAAGACCTTTCTCTCTGTCTCTCACTGTCCACGCTGCCTATCAAAAAAAAAAAAAAAAAAAAAAAAAAAAAAAAAAAAAAAAAAGATCAGCTTGGGGGGCTGGCGCTGTGGCGTAGTGGGTAAAGCTGCCGCCTGCAGTGCCGGCATCCCATATGGGTGTTGGGTTCGGTCCCGGTTGCTCCACTTCCTTTCCAGCTCTCTGGTATGGCCTGGGAAAGCAGTGGAAGATGACCCAAATCCTCAGGCCCCTGCACCCGCGTGGGAAACCCGGAAGAAGCTCCTGGCTCCTGGCTTTAGATTGGCGCAGCTCCGGCCATTGCGGCCAACTGGGGAGTGAACCAGCAGATGGAAGACCTCTCTCTCTCTGCCTGCCCTTCTTTCTCTGTGCAACTCTTTCAAATAAATAAATGCATCTTAAAAAAAATCAGCTTGGGTTCTGTCTTCCCAGACTGTAAGGCCTTGAAAGTAGGCTATCTTTCCACATTTCTGAGTCCTCTCTAGCTACTATAGCCTCTTGCTTTTTCTAAGTATCCTGCATCACCTTTTTCTTCTTTCGTTTTTTCCCTGCATCAACTTTTAAAAGAACAAAACAATGAAGAACTAAAGTTTCCTGTAGATTATAAAACTTGCCCACGGATTTATTAACGCTAAACACAGGTGCTGACTTCACAGTCTATACAACGGTCCCACATATTCATTCCATTGTCTGCCAGGTTAGGTATTACCAGCGCATTTGTCCTCGCGGCCACTTACTCATTCAGTGCCACAGCCTAGTCTGTGCGTGGGGAAGCTTTTTGGATGACCCTTGGTCTTGACATTCTTTTTTACTGTGTTGTAGCTTTCAGAGTAATTGATTCCTTAAAGGATGAATAACTTTAGAAAAACTGGTGGGAGCAGGAAAAGGCATCCCATAGGCTTGTGTGGTGGCGCAGCCAGCTGTTCCAGCTGCTCTGCTTCTTATGCAGTTCCCTGCTAAAGCGCCTGGAAAGGCAGCAGATGGCGGCTCAAGTGTTTGGACCCTGCTACCCAAGTGGGAGATCCGGATGGAGTTCAGTGTTTCTGGCTTCAGCATGGCCCAGACCCCCAGACCTGGATGCTGTGGAAACTTGGGGAGTGAATCAGTGGATGGGAGATCTCTGTTTCTCCTTCAGGCTCTCTCTCTGACTTTCATTTACATAAATACTTAGGGCGAAAAGAAAAGAAAGACAAGGCACCACAGGGCAGGGGAGGAATATCGCAAGCTTGAACAAAGGCAAGGCACAGAAATAGCAAACACTGGGAACAGCAACAGACGACGGGACTGGCGGCTTAGCCTCTTTCCCTTATTTCGTGACCCAAAACTCTTATGGGGCTCCAAGTTGTGTTTCCAGCCTCGGTCGCCCCGCCCCGTTCCTTTAACTTGTATTTTCTTCCACCGCTTTGCTCTGCGCCAGTCTCTCCGTCACTCGGAGACCACCAGCGGGCTTCCGAAAGGGCTGATTGGCTCAGCCTCCTTTTCAGTCCCGCCTCCTTCGGCCTGAGGCCCCGCCCCCTGCGCGCTACGCTCTCGGTTTTTTCGTTCTTCCGGCGCAGGCGTCATCAGCGGCCCAGTCTGGCGCTACAGCTGTCGAGCAGCAGGAAGCGGCCTCTCTTTCCTCAGATCCCGCTGCCTTGTGGGATCGCGGCGGGTTCCTCTCGTCCAGAAGGGTTTCCGGGTTTCTCCAGCCCCGCATCTGTCGCTGAGTACGGAAGCTGAAAGGGTCCGCGGGCAGCATGGCGGCGCACCTCAAAAAGCGGGTGTATGAGGAGTTCACTAAAGTTGTTCAGGTAAGTCCTGGCAGGAAGGGTCCCGGTAGCCGTCGAGGGTGGGGAAGCCATCCGGGCCTCAGGCAATCTGCCCGAAGAGGCGCCAGGAGTCTGTGTGGAGTGCCGACGACTTGATAGGCTGAGACTGCACGGTAGTGGGCGTGTTAGTTTGCAGTCGCTGTTGTTATCAGCATGTGTAACCGGACATGTTTCTTAGAAGAAACAGATCATGCTTTACAGTTTACAGAACTCTCCTGTTATTTCTTTCCCACACAGCCTAGCTAGATGGGGTTACGTTAGCATCCTCGGTGGACATTGCGGCTAACGGACGGGTGCAAAGCCGCTTCCACAGAAGCGCCCAGGGGAAAGTTGGGCTGTAAGCAAAGCTCTAAGGGGCTGGAAAAGGGGTCTGTAGAGTTCCTCACGGTCGGATAAGAGCAGGCGAGGGTGACAGGCATCGTCTTCACTGGGAGGGAGCTGTTACCTGGGAAGGAGGGCAGTGCCCTCGTCCCTTTGGAGTTCTCAGTGACTCTCCATGGGTCTCCACACGGATATCGCTAAAGTAGAGGCTGGTGCCGAGGCATCCTTGTGTCCTACTTCTCCAGTCACCCGAGGATTTTGTTAGACTATACATGCTATTAAGTCAATCATTTGGGGGAGTGAGGCAGGACTTTGCATTTCTGACAAGCCCCCAACTCGTGCGGGAGGATCAGCAGCATCCTTAGGGCTTTAGGTTTGTAGACTAGCAAAGTGTAGACCATCCAGCAGGAAGTTGATCCCTCTATTTTTTTTTTTAAGATTTTATTTATTTATTTGAGAGGTAGAGTTACAGTCAGAGGGAAAGACAGAGAGAAAGGTCTTCTGTCTCTGGTTCATTCCGCAAACGGCAGCATGTGGCTAGAGCTAGGCTGATCTGAAGCCAGGAGTCAGGAGCTTCTTGCCAGTCTCCCACATGCCTGCAGGGGCCCAATGACTTGGGCCATCCTCTATTGCTTTCCCAGGCCACAGCAGAGAGCTGGATCAGAAGAGGGGTAGCCAGAACATGAACCGGTGCCCATAGGGGATGCCAACGCACAGGCATAGGCTTAGTCTACTACACAACATCACCCGTCCCACAGTGACCACACTAATTCAATTCTTTTCTAAGATTTTTATTTGAGAGGTAGAGTTACAGACAGTGAGAGGGAAAGACAGAGATCTGCTGGTTCACTCTGCAAATGGCCGCGATCGCCGGATCTGGGCCGATTTGGAGCTAGGAGCCAGGAGCTTCTTCTGGTGCAGGTGCCCAAGCACTTGGGCCATCTTCTACTGCTTTCTCAGGCCATAGCAAAGAGCTGAATTGGAACAGGAACAGCAGGGACTAGAACCGGCGCACTGCAGGCAGAGGATTAATCTGTGCCACAGTACTGCCCCATCCATACTTCTAATAAAGGCAGAGTAGTTGAGGTAAAGATAGTTAACTGGAATGAGGGTAAAATTTTTTTCTTCAGTGTAAATTACAGTTTCCATCAGTTTTAATTTTCTGATAAAGCTAGATGAAACTCATGGATGCCTCGGCCATCTCAGTATATTTCTAGAATTGTTATTTTTTTTTTTAAGATTTATTTTATTTATTTGAAAGTCAGTTAGAGAGAGGAAGAGAAAGAAGTAAGAGATGTTTCAGCCACTGGTTCACTTCCCAGATGGCCACAATGGCTGGAACTACGTTAAGCTGAAGCCAGGAACCAAGAGCTTCCTTTGGGTCTCCCCCATGGGTGTCAGGGACCCAAGCACTTGGATCATCTTCTGTTGCTTTCCAAGGCACATTAGCCAAGAGCTGGATCAGAATTGGAGCAACCAGGACTCAAACTGGCACTCACATGGGATCCCAGCATCACAGGAGGTGGCTTATTTAACCTGCTACCGCGTGGTGCTGGTACTGCATTTATTTTCTAATAAAGAATTAAGTAGATCATTAATGTGACCCCTTAACCCCAAAGCTGCAACAATCCTCAGAGAAAGAAGCTGAGACTTGGAGAAATTCAGTGGCTAAACTTGTAGGAGCTAGGGAAAGACGGAATTATGACTCATGGCCTTGTCTTCAATGGAGTGCTTTTTTTCCAGTCTACATTACTGCTTTTTCCTAAGGTTAATTCTGTTAGCTAAGTGGATGATTTGTTATAAGGGAAAATTATTTCCATCAAGGAGGCAAAATTAAATTTGCAGGCTCTTTGTTTTCACGTTTTATCTCTACATCCCCTTACAGCAACAACAGGAGGAAATTGCGACTAAGAAACTCCGACTGACAAAACCCAGTAAATCCGCAGCACTCCACATAGACCTGTGTAAGGCCACCTCCCCTGCAGATGCTTTGCAGTACCTCCTGCAGTTTGCCAGGAAGCCTGTTGAGGCAGAAAGTGTGGAGGGAGTGGTCAGGATTCTCTTGGAACATTATTACAAGGTAAGAAGATCTCGTGGACCTGTTGGGAGTGTGTGTATGAGTTGTGTTGTGTCTGCACATTGCCTTAATCCTGAAAATAAGTAAGAAATAAGTAAGCTTTTACTGAGTGTTTTCTCTGTGCTGGTACTGAATTCAGAGATTAAAAAAACAAAAGCAGCATGTTCTGTCCTCATGTTCTGTCCTCAGAAGCTTACTAAATGGAGACAGACATGTAAACAATAAGGTGTGTCGTGTCAATGAAGGTATCGTCAGTGTAATATGTACAGAGTGCAGTGGGAGCACAAAGGAGGAGTAAACATCATCTACAACCTTTCTGTTACTGTGATGTCTCTGGAATGTAGCCCTTCTTCATCCTGCTATTCCTATCCTAATTCAGGGTCCCCATATGTAACTGAAATAACCCTCATTTTTTCTTTTTAAAACGTTATGTATTTAATTATTTTCATTTTATTTGAAAGGCTGAGAGAGAAAGAAGAGAGACAGATAGAGATCTTCCATCCTTTGGTTCTTTCCCCAAATACCTGCCGTGGCTGGTCCACACCTAAGTCAGGAGCCCAGAGCTCTGCATTGGGGGAGGCACGCAAGTACTTGAGCTGTCATCTGCTGCCTCCCAGGGTGAGCATTAGCAGAATGCTGGATAGGAAGTGGAGAAGCCAGGGCTTGAACCAGGCACTTCTGTATGGGATGTGGGCTTCCCAAGCAGTGATTTTGCTTTGTCACATACCCTCTTTTTTTTTTTTTTGAGTGGCAGAGAGGCAGAGGCAGATCACACATACACACACACACACACACACTCACATACTCACACAGTCACACACACTCGGGGCTCCCATCTCACATGCCCACAGCAGCTCCTGCATGGGTCTGATGCCAGAAGCCACCAACCCAACCTAGGTCTTCCATGTAGGTGGCAAGGATCCAACCCCCTTCAGCAGTCACTGCTGCCTCCCAGGGTCCATACCAGCAGGAACTGGAGTCAGGAGCTAGAGGTGAGCATTGAACCCAGGCACTCTGATATGGGATATTGACATTTCACCTGGCATCCTAACCTCTAGGTGGAATGGCAGGCCCTGGTCTTTTTTTTTTGTTTGTTTAGTTTATTTGAAAGGCAAAGTGACAGAGAAGGAAAGAGAGAAGAGAGCTTCTATCCGCTGATTAACTCAAAACGGCTGCAATAGTTGGGGCTGATCCAGGTTGAATCCAGAAGCCCAGAGCTCCATCTGGGTCTCCCATGTGGTGGGCAGGAGCCTGAGCACTGGAATACTGGAACCATCTTCTGTTGCCTTCCCAGACAGATTATCAGGGAGCTACGTCAGAAGCAAAGCTAGGTGGGACTCAGCTGGCACTCCAGTACAGGATGTTGGCATTATAGGCTGCAACTTAGTTTGCTGTGCTACAGTACTGTTCCTCCCCCCCACCCCCGTCTTTTATTAAACTTTAGAACAATTTCCATTATTTTGGTGATGTTGATCTGATGAAGAAACTAGGTTACTTGTTGATAAAACGTCTTGTTTTCTGGATTTGTTACAACCTTTGGAGCTTAACATTATTCTATTCCATGTGTTTGTTATGGATGGAAGTTAGATCTGGAGACTTTGTTAGATTTAGTATAAGCATAATTTTTGGGAATTTTAAATATTTTATAGCAGATGATTTCTACTTCATATGCACCTTTCAGGATGCATGCTATATGTTTAAAATATTTTTTTAAGATTTGTGTTATTTATTTGAAAGGCAGAATGACAGAGAGGGACAGAGTAAGAAAGAGATCTTCCATCCACTGGACCAAAATGGCCCAATATGGCCTCAACACCCAGGGTAGGACCAGGCTGAAGCCAGGAGCCTGTAATTCAAACTGAGTGTCCCATGGGAGTCACAGGGGCCCAAGTTCTTTGGCCATCCTCTGCTGCTTTCCCAGGTACACTGGCAAGGAGCTGGAAGCAGAGCAGCAGGGACTCAAGACAGCATTCCAACATGGATTGCTGGCTTTGTAGGTTGTGGCTTAACCTGCTGTGCCACAATGCTGGTTCCTTTTGGAAAAAAAAAAAAATTTGTGAACATTTTTTTTAGATGGCTATTTGTTTATATACATTTACTTGAAAAGCAGATTGACAGAAAAAGAGAGATCTTCAATCCACTTCCCAAATGACCTAGATACTTAGGGCTGGGCCTGGCCAAAGCCAGGAGCCTGAAACTCTAACCAGGTCTTCCACATGGGTAACAGGGGCCCAAGCCTTTGAGCCATCATCCACTGCCTCCCAGGATGTATAAGCAGGAAGTTAGATCAGAAATGGAGTAGCTAGAACTTGAACTGGCCCTCCAACCTGAGATGAGGGTGTTCCAAGAGGTGACTCAGTCTGCTGCACCACAATACCTCCTTCTGCATGCAAAGCCTTGATTTCTCATTTTGCAAGAGCTTCGCACTTTTCCCCTTCAGTCCCTCTAAACTGTTTAAAGCACTTATTCCCTTTACCTTTTATGTATGACATATGCTTGACAGAGAAAGTCCTGTCCTTTACATATATAATGCTTGAGTTTATACAGAATGCTTGCAGTTTTCCAAAAACCTGTGTGTTCAGAAATCATTGTCTTTTCTCATGCTATTTTCTTTTTCTAGAAGGCTTCTTCTGGCTACCCTGTGATCTGGTTAGCCATTTTCTCTGCTAAGCATATTCCATCCTCAGAGTCTGTCTGTTTATGTTTTCTTCTGCCTAGAACACTCCTCAGGTATTCTCGTGTTTGTGTCCCACATGTCATTCAAATTTTTGTTCCAACGTCACCGCTTCATTGAGGCCTTCCTTTACTGCTGTGGTTTTTTACTGGAATGACCTAACCCACCACAGTACGTCCTAACTCCTTGCCTTGATTTTGTTTTCTAGTACTTCTAATTGCCTATATAATTTGTTATAGTCCTGTTCTGTTTCCCTGTAGTAGAACAAAAGCTTTTATCGGGGCTGGCACTGTGGTATAGTGAGCTAATCTTCCGCCTGCGGTACTGGCATCCCTTGTGGGTGCCAGTTCGTGTCCTGGCTGCTCTTTTTCTGATCTAGCTCTCTGCTAATGGCTTGGGAAAGCAGTGAAAGATGGTCCAAGTGCTTGGGCCCCTGCATCCACGTGGGAGACCGGAAAGAAGCTCCTGGCTCCTGACTTTGGATGGCCAAGCCCCAACCTTTGCAGCCATTTGGGGAGTGAACCAGTGGATGGAAGACCTTTCTCTGGTTAAGAATGCCTGGGATAGTTGGGTCATATGGTAGATTTATTTTTAGTTTCAAGGAACTTTCATACTGTTTTCCATAATGGCTATATAAATATGCATTCCCACCAACAGAGTACAAGGGTTTCCTTCTTTCCACATCCTTGCCAGCGTTTGTTTTTCTTTTTCTTTTTTTTTTTTTTAAATCATAGATATTCTAACTGGAGTGAGTTGATATCTCACTTCAGTTTTGATTTATATGGGATGCTGGCACTGCAGGTGATGGCTTTACCCATTATGCCACAACACTGGCCCCCAAAAGCTTATTTCAAGCAGGGAGTTTTGATTTTTTTGTATTGCCTTAATGGGGAGGGTATGTAGCTTAACCGTTAAGACATGGTTAAGAATGCCTGTATCCTGTATCTGATTACCTGTGTTTGGTTCCTCATGCTAGCTCCTGACTCTAGCTTCTTGCTAACGCAGACCCTGGGAAGCAGTGATAGTGGCTCAAGTATTTGGGTTCCTGCCACCCACTTGCTCATCTGTCTCCTGTATTTCCTGTGAACTGGAAGTTAGATCTAAAGACCTTGTTAGACTTAGGGAGATCTGGGAAAGCAGTGGATAATGGCCCAAGTACTTGGATACCTGCCACCAACATGGGAGACCCAGATGTAGTTGTGTACTCCTGGCTTCAACCTGGCCCAGCCCTGGCTGTGGTGGTCATTTGAGGACTGAACCAGGAGAGAGAATCTCTTTCTCTGTGCCTCTCACTCTGCCATTCAAATAATTTAAAAAAAATTTTTTAAAGATTTATTTTAAAGGCAGAATGAGAGAGAGAGAGAGAAAGAAAGAAACTGCCACCCATTGGATTACTCCACAAATGGGTGCAATGGCCAGGGCTGGGCCAGGAGCGAGGAACTTCATCTGGGCCTCCCAACATGGACGCAGGGGCCCCAGGACTTCAATCATACTCTGCTGCTTTCCTATGCACATTAGCAGGAAGCTGGATTGGAAGTGGAGTAGCTAGGACTCAAACCTGCGCCCATATGGGATGCTGGCATTGCAGTCAGCTGCTTAACCTGTTATGCCACAATGTCACCCCCACCCTCTAGTTTTTTTTGAACAACTTTTCTCTCATAACCTCTTATTTTTTTTTAAAGCTTTATTTATTTATTTGAAAGTCAGAGTTACACAGAAAGAGAAGGAGAGGCAGAGAGTGAGAGATCTTCCATCTGCTGGTTCACTCCCCAGTTGGCTGCAATGGCTGGAGCTGTGCCGCTCTGAAGCCAGGAGCCAGGAGCTTCTTCCAGGCCTCTCACGTGGGTGCAGAGGCCCAAGCACTTGGGCCATCTTCTATGGCTTTCCCAGGCCACAGCAGAGAGCTGGATTGAAAGTGGAGTAGCCGGGACCCAAACCAGTACCCATTTGGAATGCTGGCACTGCAGGTGATGGCTTTACCCGTTATGTCAAAGTATTGGCCTCTCTCGTAACCTCTTAACTTCACTATTTTTGTTAGGATTGGCACGAGCAACTCCATTTTGATTCCTGTATTCAAATTTCTTTCACATCCGTTTGTTTTAGACATGGCACTCTGGGGGAAGTATGAAGGTTGGAAGAACTGGATGAGAGCAAAAATGCAGTTAGGGGTGACCATCTAAGAGACTAGTGTGGAGAAAGGGGATGAAAACCTGAACCGGGACAATTTTAATTGTTGAGAAGAGCAGTTCTTAAAGAGGGCTTACCTGGAGGTTTGTAACTTAGACGTGAATGAGTCGTAAATGAGTCTCAGTAGGAGGGCCAGAGTATTATTTCAGGAAGTTGAACTTGAGTATGGATGAGTAATTGTACTAGGTCACATACTTTTACTCCTTGCCTACCACTTTTTTCTCCATTTTTAAAATTGTGGTAGATAACATTCAATGTAGCTTTTTTTTTTATCTTGACCAATTTTAGTGTAGTTTAATGGTGTTAACATTAATATTGTGCCACTGTCACCACCATCCGTCTCCAGAACTCTTTTCATCTTCAAAACTAGAATTTTACTCATTAAATAATAGTCCTTCCCTAGCCTTTGGCAGCCACAGTTCCTTGACTGTATGATTTTGACTATTCTAAGTATGTCAAATAAGTGGAATGGTACAATGTTTGTTTTTTTGTCTCTGGCTTATTTCACTTAACATCATATCCTGCAGGTTTATCCACATTGTAGCATATGTCAGAATTTCCTTTTTTCAAAAAGGACTAGATAGTGTTCCATAATGTGTTCATAGCAAATTTTGCTTATCATTCATGTGTCAATGGATACTTGGGTTACTTCCCATGTTTTAACTATTTAATGCTGCTATGAGTATAGGTATACAAATAATTCTTTAAGAGTCTGCTTCCAATTCTTTTTTTAAGATTTTATTAGAAAGGCAGAGTTAGAGAGAGAGAGGGAGGGAGGGAGAGAGAGATATCTTCCATCCACTGGTTCACTCACCAAATGGCCATATGGCCAGGGCTGGGCCAATCTGAAGCCAAGAGCCAGGAGCTTCATCTGGGTCTCCCATTTGGGTGCAGGGGTCCAGGGACTTGGGCCATCTTCCATTGCTTTCCCAATTGAGTTATCAGGGAGCTGCATTGGAAGCAAAGCAGCTGGGACTCCAACCACTGCCCATATGGTATGCTGGTGTTGCAGGTGGTGGCTTTACCCACTATGCCAAATGGTGGCCCCCTGTTCCAATCTTATTTCTTTTGTTTAATTTAAGATTTACTTATTTATTTGAAAGAGTTACACAGAGAGAGAAGGAGAGGCAGAGAGAGAGGTCTTCCATCCACTGGTTCACTACCCAAATGGCCGCAACAGCTGGAGCTGCGTAGATGCCCAAAATGGAGTTACTGGATCATATGGTGATCCTGTTTTTAATTTTATGAGGGACCATCCTACAGTTTTCTCTAGTGGCTTTACTATTTTACGTTCCTGCCAAGTATACAGAGTTCCAGTTTCTCCGTGTCTTTACCTATACTTGTTTAATTTTTTAAAAAGACTTATTTATTTGAAAGTTAGCATTACAGAGAGAGAGGGGGAGGCAGAGAGAGTGTGATCTTCGATTTGCTGGTTCACTCTCCAGTGGCTGTCATGGCAAGGTCTGGGCTAGGCCAAAGCCAGGAGCCAGGAGCTTCATCCAGGTCTTGGCAGGGGCCCAAGCACTTGAACTATCTTTTGTTGTTATTCCCAGGCCATTAACAGGGAGCCGGTTTGGAAGTGAAGTAGCCTGGACATGAACTAGCACCTGTATAGGATGCTGGCATCACAGGTGGATACATTATGTGCTATGCCACAACACTGACCCCTGTTTCCTGTTTTTTTTATTTATTTATTTATTTATTTATTTATTTATTTATTTTTATAGTAACCATCCTTAATAGGTGTGAGATTGTATCTCCTTGTGGTTTTCAAAAAAAAAAAAAGTTTAAATTAATTAACTAATTTTAGATATGGAGAGAGAGAGGAAGCTCCCCTCTACTGGTTTTCTCCTCAATGTCTGCAGCAGCCAGGGCTGGGCCTGGGCTGAGTTGGGAACTCAGTCCAGGTCTCCTATTTGGGAAACAGTAGCTCAACCATTTGAACCATCACTTGCTCCCTCCCAGGGTCTTCATTAGCAGGAAGCTAAAGTCAGAGAAAGCAGAGACTCAAACCTAGGCACTCTGATGAGGGATGATGGCATTCCAACCAGTGGCTTAACTGCTAGGCTTAAGGAAGACCTTGTAGTTTTGATTTGTATTTCTCTAATGATTAATGATGTGGAACATTTTTTCATATGTTTATTTGGATTTTTTGTATATCTTTGGGGAAATACCTATTCATATCTTTTTTTTTTAAAGATTTATTTATTTGAAAGGCAGAGTCATAGAGAGGCAAAGAGAGAGAGAGTTTTTTTTTAAAGATTTATTTTATTTATTTGAAAGTCAAAGTTAACACACAGAGAGAAGGAGAGGCAGAGAGAGAGAGAGGTCTTCCATCCGCTGGTTCACTCCCCAATTGGCTGCAACGGCCAGAGCTGCACCAATCCGAAGCTAGGAGCCAGGAGCTTCTTCCGGGTCTCCTATGCCACTGCAGGGGCCCAAGGACTTGGGCCTTCTTCTACTGCTATCCCAGGCCATAGCAGAGAGCTGGATTGGAAGAGGAGCAGCCAAGGCTAGAACCGGCGCCCATATGGGATGCCAGTGCTTCAGGCCAGGGTGTTAACCCACTGCATCACAATGCTGGTCCTGAGAGAGAGGTCTTTCATCCACTGGTTATCTCCCCAGATGGTCGCAATGGCTGGAGCTACGCTAATCTGAAGCCAGGAGCCAGCAGCTTCTTCCGGGTCTCCCACGTGGATGCAGGGGCCTAAGGATTTGGGCCATTTTCCACTGCTTTCCCAGCTGATAGCAGAGAGCTGGATCAGAAGTGGAGCACTCATTTCGGATGCTGGCACTGCAGGCGGCAGCTTTACTCACTATACCACAGCGCTGGCCCCTCCTATTCATATCTTCTGCTTGCATTTTTGTTGTGTTTCAGCAGTTCTCAATATATTCTGGTATTTTCAAATCAAGATCCTAACTTCATCATTTAAAGAAGTAGAAGATAATAAGCTAAACCCAAAGTTCATAGAAGGAAGGAGATAATTACTCTAGATCTGATGTTTGTCTGACTTACTTTTTTTTTTTTAAGAGGATGCCTTTTTTTTTTTTTTTTGACGGGCAGAGTGGACAGTGAGAGAGAGAGAGACAGAGAGAAAGTTCTTCCTTTTTGCCGTTGGTTCACCCTCCAATGGCCGCATCGCGCTGATCCGAAGGCAGGAGCCAGGTGCTTCTGCTGGTCTCCCATGCGGGTGCAGGGCCCAAGCACTTGGGCCATCCTCCACTGCACTCCCTGGCCACAGCAGAGAGCTGGCCTGGAAGAGGGGCAACCGGGACAGAATCTGGCGCCCCGACTGGGACTAGAACCCGGTGTGCCGGCACCGCAAGGCAGAGGATTCGCCTAGTGAGCCGCGGCGCCGGCCCTGTCTGATTTTCAAGTACTGGCTGTGTTCCTGATTCCAGCTACCTGCTAATGTATGTTCTGGGAAGCAGAAGGTGATGGCTCAAGAAATTGAACCCTGGGTGACGGCAACGTGACGCAGTAGGTTAATTCTCCACCTGCAGTGCCGGCATCCTATATGGTTCTAGTCTCGGCTGCTCCTCTTCTGATCCAGCTCTCTGCTATGGCCTGGAAAAGCAGTAGAAAATGGCCAAGGGCCTCTGCACCCACATGGGAGACCCAGAGGAAGCTCCTGGCTCCTGGCTTCGGATCAGCACAGCTCTGGCTGTTGTGACCATTTGGGGAGTGAACCAGCGGATGGAAGTGCTCTCTCTCTCTCTCTCTCTCCTTCTCACTGTCAGTAACTCTACCTCTCAAATGAATAAATAAAATCTTAAAAAAAAAAAAAAAGAAAGAAATTGAATCCTTGCCACTCATGTGGGTTATCTGGATTGAATTCCCAGATCCTGGTTTTGGCTAGCCCAGTCCTTTCTGTTGTAGGCACTTGGGGAGTAAATTGGTGGATGGAAGATCTCTGTCTGCCTTTCAAAATAAGTAAGAAAGTCAGTGATAGGGCAGCTGTTTGGCCTACTGATTAAGCTACTGGTTAAGATACTTCATCCCATATTGGAGTACCTGGATTTGATGCCTGCTTTGGCTCCTTATTATAGTTTTCTGCTATTGCAGACCATGGGGGATAGTGGATGGTTCAAGTAATTGGGTTCTTGCCACCGTGTAGGAGACCTGGATCAGTTCTAGGCTTCTGGCTTCAGTCTGGCCCAGCCTCAGCTGTTGCGGGCGTTTGTGAAGTAAACCAATAGATGGGAGCTTGCTCTCTCTCTCTCTTTCTGTTCCTTTCTTGCTCTGCATCTGTCTCTCTTTTTGCCTCTTAAAAAGAAAAGAAAAAAATAAGTGATCTCAGGAAGGATTTAAAAAGTTCCCATCTGTGTAGTATTTGGTGTAACATCCTGGATGAGAAAAACTGTCTCCCTTGAAGAATATAAAGTTAATTTTTTAGGAACAAATCCTTGAATCTCTTTTGTGATGTCAATTTTTTATTTATTTCTGTTTGTTGATTAAGAGCTTCAAGATGACAATAGCTTCTTTTGTTTCAGGAAAATGATCCATCTGTGAGACTGAAAATCGCATCCTTGTTGGGTTTATTATCAAAGACCACTGGATTTTCACCAGACTGCATTATGGATGATGCCATAAACATACTACAGAATGAAAGTAAGTTGCAGTTTATAAGCTGCCTAGTCAGAGTAGAAATATTTGGTTCTCTTTTTTTCAAAGATTATTTGAGAGAGTTACAGACAGAGAGGGAGAGACAGAGAGGTCTTCGTCTGTTGGTTCATTCTCCAAATGCGCTCTATGGCTGGAGCTGGGCCCATCTGAAGTCAGGAGCCAGGAGCTTCTTCTGGTTCTTCCACATGGGTGCAGGGACCTGAGCACTTGGGCCATCTTCCACTGCATTCCCAGGCCATTAGCAGGGAAGTGGATCGGAAGTGGAGCAGCCGGGACTGGAACTGGTGCCAATATGAGATGCCAGCACTGCAGGCGGAGGTGTAACCACAGCATTGGCCCCGAAATATTTAGTTTTTTTTTTTTTAATATAGAATTTAAAGCAACATTTTTCTGTGTTGATTTTTATTGAAAAAGAATTTGAGGGTGATTTAATAAAAACATGTACATATGTTTACATTAGCGTTAAAATAACAGTTTTATCTTTTTAAAAAAGGCTTATTTATTTTCATATAATTGAAAGGCAGAGGGACAGAAAGACAGACAAAGAGAGAGTGAGAGATCCTTGATCTCTGTTTCATTTCCCACAAATGCGCACAATAGCCAGGGTGGGTCAAGATGAAGCTAGGAGCCTTGATCTCTTACTGCATCTCCGGCATGGGTGCAAGGGCTCAAGCACTTGAGCTATCTTTTGTTGCTTCCCATGATCTGCATTAGCAGGAAGCTGGAGCATTAGCAGGAACTGGAGCTGGATATGGTATGTGGTATATGATGTGGTATGTGGTGGGCATCTTAACCAGCATCTTAACTGCTAGGCCAAATGCCCACCCTCAGTTTTCTTTTTCTTCTTCTTCTCTCTCTCTCTCTTGTTTTTTTCAAAAGATTTATTTATTTGGAAAGGCAGTGTCAGAGAGGGAAAGACAGAGAGAGAGACAGAGATCGTTCCATCTGCTGTTTCATTTCCCAAATGGCCATAACCGTCAGGCCTGGGCCAGGCTGAAGTCAGGACCCCAGAAGTCCATTTGGGTCTCCCACATGGGTGGCAGGGGCCTAAGAACTTGGGAGGTCCTATGCTGCTTTCTCAGGTGCATTAGCAGGAAGTTTATCAGAAACGGAGAATGGGGACTCAAACTGGCACTCTTATATGTGATGCAAATGTCACAAGGGGATGTCCAACCTGCTACAGCACAACACCAGCTCCAGGAGCACCTAGCATTTGTATAGGACTATGCCCAGTACTGCGGAAGAACTAATTTTTAGAAGCAATCTGTGTAGAAATTATAGTTTTTAGTTGAGTTTTAGGAATTTACCTTTTAGTTGAGGCTGAAATAGTAGAAGTCAGCTGATAAAAATCTACATGTTTGACCCAACTAAATTGGCTTTTATAGTGACCTCTTTTGGAAATGCTACAACTCAGCTTTTTAATCTTCCTTTTCTAGAGTCTCATCAAGTTCTAGCTCAACTGCTGGATACTTTACTTGCGATTGGTACTAAACTGCCAGAGAATCAAGCTGTTCAGATGCGATTGGTTGATGTAGCCTGCAAGGTAAGAATATAATTTATTCTTTTTTGAACAGTTTTTATTATTTGGAAAGATGGTTAGAGTTGTAAAATCTGCTGATAGCCATCCTAAAACTTAACTAAGGTTAATGGTATTAAGAGCTGCCTTTTTTTTTTTTTTTGCCTCTTGATCTTGAGTTAGGAGTAAAGTTAATATTATAAAATGAATTTCCTTATCTTCCTACAAGAAATGATAACTAGCTATTGTGTTTACTGTGCCTAGTAATATACTCTGCTGATTGATCATGTTTTATATTCAATTATAATTTGGCCATCACAATTCCTTAAGAATGTACTGAGGCTGGCGCCACAGCTCACTAGGCTAATCCTCTGCCTTGCGGCGCTGGCACACCGGGTTCTAGTCCCGGTCGGGGCGCCGGATTTTGTCCCGGTTGCCCCTCTTCCAGGCCAGCTCTCTGCTGTGGCCAGGGAAGGCAGTGGAGGATGGCCCAAGTCTTGGGCCCTGCACCCCATGGGAGACCAGGATAAGTACCTGGCTCCTGCCATTGGATCAGCGCAGTGCGCCGGCCACAGCGTGCCGGCCGCGCTGGCCATTGGAGGGTGAACCAATGGCAAAGGAAGACCTTTCTCTCTGTCTCTCTCTCACTGTCCACTCTGCCTGGCAAAAAATTAAAAAAAAAAAAGAATGTACTGATAACCCTGTTTGATAGAGGTGGAATTTGAGGTTTCAGGAGTGCAATTTTTCCAAATCTTCACAGCTAGGAGGTTGCTGAACCAGGTTATAAACTCTGGTTCCTCTGATTCCAAAACATATGTTCTTTTATTATGCCTTGTTGCTTCAGTAAACAGAACACTAGACACAAGCAACTGTTGTCAAAGTTTTTAAGTTCTTTTTTTATCTGATTATAAAAGAAGTATGTGCACATTGATTATACATTTTGATTTAATTTGGGCCTTTAGTTAACCTCCTTTTGTGTATAAGAGCAGACCCTAGAACCTTACAGAATTAGGCTTAGTTGTCATCTTTTAAAAATTTATTTGGGGCCAGTGTTGTGTTGTGATGGGTTAAGCCAACACCTGCAGTGCCAGCATCCTATATTTGGTACTTGTTCAAGTCCTGGTTGCTCCACTTCCGATCCAACTCCCTGCTAATGCGCCTGGAAAAGCAGCTGAAGATGGCCCAACTCCTTGGGCCCCTGCATCTGCGTGGGAGACCCAGATGAAGTTCCTGGCTCCTGGCTTCAGCATTGCTCAGCCCCTGCTATTTTGGCCATTTGGGGAGTGAACCAGCAGATGGAAGATCTCTCTCTCTATCTTTCTCTCTGTGTAACTCTGCCTTTTAAGTAAATTAAAAAAAAAAAAAAGAGAGAGAGAGATTTGGCTCCCAACTCATGTATATTGCAAAATCCTAAGTAAATGGCACTGAACAGCATGGCGTTTGATCCAATTATGGTGTCCAAAGGTGTGGCCTTTGGGAAGTGATTGTATTGAATTAGATTGCTAGGGTGGAGCCCTGGGATGGAATCAAAATCAGTTTGTAAGCAGAGACAGTAGATGCCCAGGTCCCTGTCTGTCTGCATCCTGCTTACTATGTGATCACTCCTCCACCATCCTCCAGCTTTACCAGACACCTGAGCCAAGGGGGCCACCAGTCCAACTTCATCTGCTTCCAATCCAGCTTCCTACTAATGTGCACTCTGGGAGGTATACGACGATGGCTCAAGTACTTGGGTCCCTGCCACCTACATGGGAGACCCAGAGTGAGTTCTAGGATCCAGGCATTCAGATTTGAAATGCAAGTGCCCAAGTGGCACTTAACTTATTATTATTATTATTATTTTTGACAGGCAGAGTGGACAGTGAGAGAGAGAGGGACAGAGAGAAAGGTCTTCCTTTGCCGTTGGGTCACCCTCCAATGGCCGCCCCGGCCGGCGCACCGCGCTGATCCGATGGCAGGAGCCAGGTACTTCTCCTGGTCTCCCATGGGGTGCAGGGCCCAAGGACTTGGGCCATCCTCCACTGCACTCCCTGGCCACAGCAGAGAGCTGGCCTGGAAGAGGGGCAACCGGGACAGAATCCGGCGCCCCGACTGGGACTAGAACCCGGTGTGCCAGCGCCGCAAGGCAGAGGATTAGCCTATTGAGCCGCGGCGCTGGCTGCACTTAACTTCTACACCAAAGGCCTACCCCTTCTTTTAATCTTTTTCATATTTTTACTGTGAGACTATCAGGTATATTTGAATTGTATTAGAGTAGTATATTTATGGAATTAGAAAGCCATTTCAGAGTCGCAGGACAGATTTCGTTTACAGAAAACACAAATATAAACCAAAATCACTTTGACAAAGTACGTTATTAAAAGCCTCAATGAAACAATCTAGAGATTATATATGTGAAAAGCAAGCATATCTCCTGTGTATAAGAATACGTATGAAGTTATGCTTGTGACAGGAGTGCCATACCATGTAAGTTGTTAGGTTTGCAATAATCGTTTCTTAAATTTGCTCTAAATTCACTTTTTACCACATAAATTCACATTCATAAATTCACATCTGCTGGTTTGTTCCACAAATCCCTATACCTGTCAAGATTGGGTAAGGGGCCGGTGCCGCGGTTCAGTAGGCTAATCCTCCGCCTGCAGCACTGGCACACCGGGTTCTAGTCCCGGTTGGGGCGCCGGATTCTGTCCCGGTTGCTCATCTTCCAGTCCATCTCTTTGCCTTGGCCCGGGAAGGCAGTGGAGGATGGCCCAGGTCCTTGGGCCCTGCACCTGCATGGGAGACCAGGAGAAAGCACCTGGCTCCTGGCTTCAGATCAGTGAAGCGTGCTAGCTGTAGCAGCCATTTGGGGGGCAAACTAACGGAAGGAAGACCTTTCTCTCTCTCTCGCTCTCTATCTCTCACTGTCTAACTCTGTCAAAAAAAAAAAAAAAAAAAGAAAAGATTGGGTTAGGCCAAAGCCAGGAGCTAGAAACTCAGTTTGGATCTCCCAGCTGGGTGGTATGGACCCTAGTACTTGTGATATTACCTGCTGTATTAACAGAGTGTGTATTAACAGGAAGGAGAATGAAGAACAGAGTTGGGACTTGAACCCAGGGGCTATACCAAACCCTTGCCCCTATAAACCTTTTTTTTTTTTTTTTAAAGATTTTATTTACTTACTTGACAAGAGTTACAGACAGTGAGAGAGAGAGAGAGACAGAGAGAAAGGTCTTCCTTCCGTTGGTTCACTCTCCAAATGGCCACAGTGCCTGGAGCTGTGCCAATCCGAAGCCAGAAGCCAGGAGCTTCTTCTTGGTCTCCCATGTGGGTACAGGGGCCCAAGCACTTGGGCCATCTTCTACTGCTTTCCCAGGCCACAGCTGGACTGGAAGAGGAGCAACCGGGACTAGAACCGGCACCCATGTGGTATGCCAGCACCACAGGCGGAGGGTTAACCTAGTGCGCCATGGCGCTGGCCCCCCCATAAACATCTTTTAAAAGTTTTTGTTTTGGGGCTGGCACTGTGTGTAGTGGGTAAAGCCTCTGCCTGCAGTGCCAGCATCACATATGGGCGGCTGGTTCAAGTCCTGGCTGCTCCACTTCCGTTCCAGCTCTCTGCTATGGCCTGGGAAAGCAGTAGAAGATGGCCCAAGTCCTTGGGCCCCTGCACCTGCATGGGAGACCCAGAAGAAGCTCCTAGCTCCTGGCTTTGGATTGGCGCAGCTATGACCATTGCAGCCAATTGGGGAGTGAACCAGCGGATGGAAGACCTCTCTCTCTCTTTCTGCCTCTCTTTCTATGTAACTCTGAGTTTGAAATAAGTAAATATTTTAAAAAAATGTAATTTATAAAAAAAGTTTTTCTTTTTTTTTTTGAAGACTTATTTATTTATTTATTTGAAAGGCAGAGTTACACAGAGAGAGGGAATAAGGGAGAGATAAATATCTTCTATATCTTCTATCTGCTGGTTCACTACCCAAATGGCTGTAATAGCCTGGTTTGGACCAGGCCAAAACCAGGAGCCAGGAGCTTCATCCAGGTCTCCCACATGGGTGGCAGGGGCCCAAGAACTTGGGCCATCTTCCGTTGCTTTCCCAGGTGCATTAGCAGGAGCTGGATTGGAAGTGGAGCTGGGAGGTCTTGATCTGGTGCCCATATGGAATGCTAGTGTTGCAGGTGGTGTTTAACCAGCTAAGCCAGAATGCTGGCTCCAAAAGTTGTTTCTAAATAATTTATTTTATTTGCAAAGCAGAATGGTAGAGAGATTGATCTTCCATCCGGTGGTTCACCCCCTAAATGTCTGCAATAGTCAGGGCTAGGCCAGGCTGAAGCCAGGAGCCTGGAACTCAATCCTGGTCTCCCACGTGGGTGTCAGGGGCCAAGCACTTCTGCCATCTTTCGTTGACTTCCAAGGTACACATTAGCAAAAAGCTGGAACAGAAGTGAATGAAGCCAGTATTCATTTAAACCGGGGACACTTCAATATGGAATGCAGGTATCCCAAGCAGTATCTTACCTGCTATGCCAAATGCCTACCCTAAAATGTAGAATTCAGTGACTTAATTACATTCATGTACAACCATCACCACCACACATTCACAGAACTCTTCATTTCGCAAAATTGTAGCTCTATGCCCTTTAAACTGTAACTCCCTATTTCTTGCTTTATTAGTCTCTAGCAACCACAAATCTGTTTTTGGTCTCTATAAATTTGACTTCTGGGGGTATTTCATATAAATGGAGTCTTACAATATTTGTGCTTTTGTGTGAGGCTTATTTTACTTAGCAGCAAGGTTAATCCATGTTGTACCATGTATCTGAAATTTTTTTTTCACTTTTTCTTTATTTGAGAGGTAGAAAATGAAAGACAGAGAGAGTGACTTCCCATCTACTATTCAGGTCCCAAAATTTCCACAACAGCCAGGTCTGGGTTGGGGCCATATCCAGGAGCTGGAAACAAAATGAGGGTTTTTCCATGTGAGTGGCAGGATCCTGGTTATTTGAGCCATCACCTCTATCTCTCCCTCTCAGGCTCTGCATTGACA